TGTTGCTGTTTACATTGATATTTATGATTACTATTATTTTGATCAATGTTCTGCTTATATGAACATTTTAGTGATTACGTTCCACCATCAATATTTAGACAGCTCTTGTGTTGAAGCTTCAGGGTCACTGAATTTGTTTTCCACCAGTCATCTGAGATCTAATTACTGGGTAATGTCATCCATTTGCAGCCTCTTCACCACTGCTCCCCGAGGACACAGTTTGGAATACCTGCAGAATCTGACCTTGGCAGGAAGTCTGTTCGCTGCTTTTTAATTTCATGATATTTATCAGTTGCTGTTGTTGAAGGATCCTTCACATACGCAGCACAAAACTTATTTTACGACTGAACTCAAACACCAAAAAAAACCCTGTGATCCAGACAAATACCCTGAGGGGCCCAAGCACATGATAACGGTGTTCCTTTCTTCTGTAAATTCTTACGCAAGTGAAATTCTTTCCTACAAATATTCAGCATTACAAATACTTAAGGTGGTGATCTGTCAGTCTGCTGGACTCAGCCGGTTGTACTCAAATGTTCTGTCCAGTGTTTTGAGGAAAAGGCATCTGGAGCAAAAGAACCACAGCAGCCAGAGACAAACCACTCAGTCTTTAACATTTCACCTTAATATTTTAATAACACAAACAAACTCTAACTTAAAGGCGACTGGCTCCTCAGCTCTGTGACCAGCGTCCTGAGTGTGTGTCTGTCTCTGCTGCTGCCTTTTGTACCTGAGGATCAATCAGCTGACGGCTCTCACCTGCGCTGATTGAGCCTCTGGTCCAGGTGAAGGTGCTCTCCCTGCTTCCTCCACAGTCAGCCTGAATTACATCATCATCGATAAATCTGTGGGGACGTAGAAGTAAATTAATGTAAAGATGAACTCGCAAACAAACAACTGAATTGTATGAAATAGCCTCATAGCAAATTTGTTTAAAGGTTACGTGTGTAGAATTTAGTGACATCTAGAGGAACTTTCATGTTGCAGCTGAATACCCCCCCCCCATGTAAATATAAAGTTTTTAAATATGAAGGGCCCATTATATGGTAAAGAAAATCCCTTTCACCTAAATCTTACACACTTTACATTTGATTTCTTTTAAATTTCCCAACATATGTGGCAAATTCCAGACCAGACAAGGAATGAATTCACTTCTCTGACACGTAAATACACACAGAGCTACGTGGACAAACTCCGAACTGCTTTCTTTGTCAACAGACGATACTAGACTACTAATATTATACTAATATAACTCCTGCTACTGAGGCTGAATGATGAAATGATCACACATTATACAATGTCGCTGTCTAATCGATTGGATGACCTGGAAACTTTGTCAAAGAGGATTTGAAACAGTCATTTCCAGCTGGAGCACGAGAGCAGTGATGTAAACAATGACCGTTCATACCCACGAGAAGCTCTGAGGCTACAAACCTGAAAACCTTCATTTCTGTTCCGTTCTCTAAAATCAAACTTTTCATTCCACCACACAGTTTCCAACAGTTTTGAGAATTTCGTTTCCCTCGACCGTGTGTTGCAACGTGCAGCTCTCCAGCTCTCTGGACTCCATTAGTTTCGCTCCTTCATGGGGATAAAACAAGGACGCCTCTGAGTGCTGGGCCCACCTCAGGTCAAGAGCAGTCCAGCAAACCTATAGTCACAAGTGACAGCCGGTATCCTGCCAGAAAAAAGGCTGGAGGGACAGAGGGAGGGGGGGGGGGGCTGCATAATATAGGGGCAGCTGTCTATTGCCAGGTTTTCACACTGAGTCTGAGATGGCTCAAAAGAAACGAGGGGAGAGAGAGGACAGAGAGAAGTGATGAACAACAGCAATACAAATGGTAGAACGATGGCTGAGAGGGGGGAGAGCAAGAATGAGGGGAGGAAAAGGAAGATGGCCAGAGGTGGAAAACAGAGTAGGAGTAAAATGGGGTCGACTTCACTCCGGCCATGACTCATTCACGTGGACGACCTGTAACGGAGCGGAGGGGGTGGTGGAGGGTGAAGAAAGGGCTGATGTGAGGGTGCACGCAGGCAGGCGTCCATGTGGCCCCCGAGGCACCGAGAAGGCCCCGGTGACAAAGGGGGCCTTTGCTTTCCAGCCCTTCTCAAGACGCTCTGGGGATTCTGTTTTGCTGCTCGTCTTTTCCTCTGCGGAGCCTCTCACTTTCTCCCAGGCCAGCTCAGGAATGTGCCTTGTGCAAACCAACACACACACACACACACACACACACACACACACACACACACACACATACACACACACACACACACTGTCTTCACCCTCGTTGGTTAGTTATTGTCGTAATGACGAATGCAAAGAATGTTGCACAATCACATAAGCTCATGTGCAATTAAAAACTTGTGGCAGTCGTGCAGACATATGCAGACGTTTGCAGGTTAAGCTCCGCTGCTCAACACTCACACTTCTTTAATGTTTTTGGGTGACGGCCACAAACCAAAGGGCCACACAGGCATGAAGGGTTTTCACGACATCCATTTTTCCACATTGGATTTCTTCATCCACATCCAAGAGACTTCACAAGCAGAAAAAAACCCCTTTATAACTTAAGAGTTGGGTGTGTATCCAGGATGGATCGCCTGCAGCCAATTTTTTTTTATCACCAATTCTTCAAAGTTTTTAAGCCAAATCCTGGGAAACAATGTGAGCAGGTGCTGAGCAGGAGGGGCTGTAAATCTAGCCTGGAGAATTAAGCCATTGCCTTGGCATTGTTCTGGCTGGCCCCTTAGCTGATCCTGCTGGGGAGGGTGTTAGGTGGGGTGGGGCAGAGTGAGGGTCTGAGGCCTAAATCTCCCAACATGGGGGCGTCCTGCATATTTCACACATGTCAACTGACCTGGACCCAGCTGCAGACGAGGGGGATTCAACCCGACGCAAACATGTGACGTCACAGGTCGTGCAGGAAAGAGACAACAACAACAAGCATTAGAAGAAAACAGTGGTTTCCTCTGAGCCAGTGATCGTCAGACTTGTGTCTTGGGAAGTTTTATTGTCAGAATTACACATTAACAACTGGTGTCAAATATAATCTAAACAGGAATTTGTCAAAAATGTCAGGCTACATTTCATCACAGTAAAAAAAAAACATCTGAGGCTGCTTGGTTTCATTAGTTGACCCTTGACCTCATAACAGATCAGGTGACCAGGGCACTGCTGTGGAATGTCCCCCTGCCTTTCCTTTTTTTAATTTCAAAGCTCCCAACAGTTCGTCATTTTATCTGAACCTCCCAAGGTCTTCAGTGAAGTATCCTAACAATATAACGACAACAGTATGTATGTACTGCATGTGTGTTTCAGACTGGATGTGATCCTGTGTGTCTGCAGTAACTGACCACAGGCCCCTGTCCTTCAGGAACAACTTTACTCCAGTACCATGTATTCCCTGTACTCCTTTAAGTGTGTGTCTTCTTCCTCCTGCTCGGATTTCAGTGGCTCGTTTGGCTCCTTGGGACAAAGCAGAGAAAGATTACTGAATTATTTTGTAGCTGCAGTAAAGATGTGAAATTCTAAATACTCTGGGTCTATAACTATATTGATCATATTCATCATTTGTTACCTTAATCAAACAGGTTAAGTTTTCACCCCTTTAATTGTTGGACCGTTTATTTTTCAGCAGGATTACACAAAAACTACTGAACTGATTTCCTTCGAAACTTGGTGGCAGGATGGGATGTTTGCTCACAGATACACGATGGTAATAACAGTACCAAGACAGTATTGTTTGTAACTTTCTGAGTTGTCCTTGTCATGTATTTGAACTTATGTGGAATAACAAACCCCGTGAACAAAACAGTACATGTGGGAAACACGTGCTTGTTTGGAGGAGAAAAGAGACGACGTCTACAAATTAACTAAACGTCTGAATCTGGAACATTCAGCCACCAAAAGATTCATCGTCTCCAGTTAGCAGACAGACTGATGTCACTGTCCCCAATGCAGAGGATCAAATGATGATCTAAATGAATTAAATATGAGGGGCGAGAGAATTAGAGACAGAGAGACAGGCGGCCTAATTCAGCTTTCCAGAGTCAACTTTGAATCAGCGTTCATACTGAGTCGACATGAAACGTTTGTGAATCCTAATGTTCAGCCCATTCGGAGGACGACAAATCCAGAGGCTGTGACTGATGTTGTTCAGTATCATGTCAAGGTCATTTTAAAGGCAAATATTGATCTTCATGCTTTTAGTTTGTCTGGTTTACATCAGTCAAAATGAGGATCCAAACTAACAACCCTCCATTAACAACCTCAAACGAGTTGGTGTGAGTGACCACATTTATAGATTGTCATAGTTAAAAGGTTTATGTGGAAATCTGTTGAGTAGTTTCTCCATAAACCTGCTGAACATCACACATAAACAACCTTTTATCTAGAAGTAAAATCCATATCTCACCATTTTCTTCTCGAGTTCTTCAGCCTCCTTCTGCTCTTTTTGAGACAACTTCTCCCTCTGCAAATAATCCTTCAACCTGTTTTCCTCCAGTTCAAAGAGCTTCTTCACATTCAAACTCTGCACACAGACACAGGAGACAGGGACAATTTAAATGTATGATGTGTGTTGTTCAGGCAGCCATTTAAAAAACTATACATAATAATGAAATCAATCACAACTACGCAGCGGTTTCGTGACCATATCATCACGTTTAAGTTAAGAAACATGATCAAAAAGTTTTAACAGTGACAGTTTAAACAGTGGGATTTTCTTTGTGGGGCTGTGACGATGTTTAGTTGAGAGACTTGTAAAGTGAGTATTAGTAAGTAACTCCTCTGTAATAAGCCAGACCCGACGCAGTAAACCGAGAACAAGGCATTATGGCGACAGTTCTTCAGGGAGCAACACATAAATCAGAACTTCCTTCAATGTGGAGCAGCTTAATATCACTGCAGTAGAGCAGCACCGAGATAATGGTCTTACCTCGCTCTTGGAGGGAATGTAGAGTGTCTTTGGAATTTCAAAAACACGAACCACTCCAAGGTCGTCAGTCACAGCCAGAATGTGCTGCTTGGCTGTAAAAAAAAAAAAAAAAAATCCAGCAAAGTAGCGAAAAGAAATGTCCAAACAAAGACCTTATCACTGAGACTGTGGAAATATAAATAAAACACACAGAGAGAACGTCTCTAAATCTTCGCAGGAGCAGCAGAAAGAGAAAGAAGCAGTCAAGGTTTTATTTTATATCTTGTGGTTGCAGCAGCATTTTCTGCCTCAGACGCTCACCTCTATTTACTTTCACTTATAGGTTCTGGGTTTCTGAAGTGTTCCCTAAATTAAATTCAAGACTTTTAAAACCTTTTCATATCTCAGATAATTCAGTACTTTACTTTCTTTTGTTATTGTACCAGACAAACTCCTGCTGTTTTTTATACATCACATTTTTATCAGTGAATCCCAGTTTTTTTTAATAGTAATTTCTGTTAATACGTGACCTGGAAACAGATAACTGTCTTCAGGGCACAGACCTGGGGGCCTTTATGAAGTTACTGTTAATATTTGTTGTTTTAAAGTTTCCAGCAGCCAAAACTTATCATTAATGTTCTTGTCTGTGGAAGGCAAGATACAAATATTCAAGATCTTTGTAAATAAACATTAAGATGTAATAATGTCTTAATAAATGAAACAGAATTAATACCCTTATACTCTTAATGGCAGTTTTTGTAGTAACTGAATGCAATGCTTTTCCAAGACGTGGAATTTCTTTTTATTCGAACCACACATTAGTTTTCTATCATGTTGTGCAGCAGAGCAACTAAGAACTCACGCGTGGCGGTCCAGGGTGTGATGCAGGTAATCTTGGCGTTGGTGATGTGTGCGTGGACCTGGGTAGGCTCACTGGTCTTTTCCAGCAGGTTCCACACCTCAATGCTGCCGTCGTCTTTCCCAATGAAAAACACTGCTGGCCGGGACAGGGACCAGCATCCCACAGTGATCACATGTTCGGAGATTGGTGACACGATGATGGGGCCGTCCTGGACGTTGTGGAAACAGGCAAATGGAGTCAGTGTATCTAACATGCAAATAATCTGTTATAACCAAAATATGTTTTGTCCTGCAGTGGACATCATGATGGACTGAGGGGCTGATGTTAAAAGTCCAGGAAAACCTTAATCTTTTGTGTATTTTCTGTTCATTCTACATGGGTAAGATTTGAATTGGTTGCTATGTTTTTCTGCTGCTGTAGCTGAATCAATGTGAGGTCTTTTGTTACCATGACTCCCTCCTTCCAGATGGCAAACTTCCAACCTCCTGTGGTCAAAATGATGTCTTTGAAGAAGGGCGACCGCTGTATCGTGTTTACCATCCAGCTATGGATGCTGAAACAGTGGAGGGGCTTGGCACCTTGGAGAGAGGAGACAGATGCAGGAAGAGAAGATTTGTGTTTTATTTGATGATAAAGGGGAAGGAAATAATTTAATAATCATGGATGTGCATGTTCTTCTGATATTTTCTGCTTTATAAAATGATCAACAGACAAGAAAACACTAGTTTGGTTCCAATAAACGCAGTTTGATTAAAAAAAGAGAGAGAACAATCACTTTGCAGCCGTCCAGAATCGTCCTTCTCCAGTTTCCAGTCAGTGTAAACAATCTCCCCATCCTGGTGATTAGAAAGTTAATTATGGAGCATCTTACAAGAAGATATGGAATAAAACTGCACACTGTATATTTCTCATACAGAGACACTGTTGAAATGTGGTTCATAAAACTGTTATAGATCCTTAATGAGAGAGATTCAATTTTAGCTCTATGTTGAAGACCATAAAATATTGAAATGAATCCTAACTAAAAGATGAAATTGCTTTTTGTACAAAGTGTGTAGATCCATTCTGTATCATCCAATATTTCAGAGTACAGTATTTGTTGTGATAGTTGATGTCAGTGGTAGGAATGTTTACCTCGGTTCCGATATAGAACTTGGTGTTGACGTCTTCCAGAGTTGTGAGTGTTTTGGCCGAGGGCAGCCTGAGCTGGCTGAAGTCTCGGATGATCTCTGAGCTCTTATCAGCTTCTTCTGTGAGGGGAAACAACAAGAGAGAGTGCAGGACATGCAATGAAAAATAAGGTGAGGTTATAAAGTAATTGTATGAGGTTATAAAGCATTAAGGAAAAACAATGGGTCTTGCAAGCAAAGGAAAAACATCCAAAATATGCTTAAAAGAAAATACAACAATGAGAGAAGAACAAGAAAAAAACACAAGTGACTTATCACAGAAGTACAAACAATTAAAAGCTTCTATTTAAAGTAAGGAAGTAACTGAACAGAAGCATCGGTGCAGCATGTTCTGTAATCTGACCATGAACAAGGCAACAGAAGGAGGGGAGTAGGGAGGCGTACAAGTGAGGTGAATGAGTTGGTAAGAGGGGACGCAAGAGTAATCGGAAAGAAAGAGGGAAAAGGTGGAGGTGGGAGTTGTGTCTAGAAGAAAGTAAGGGGAGGGGTGAGATAGGCAGCGCTGGTGGTGATGGAGGAGGCCTTTCCATCACAAAAGCCCAACTGTCTGTCAGGGACAGTGCAGAACTGTCCGTTCACACACTCCCTTATCAAGGGGACACTCCCAGTCGAGTCTCAGCCTCACTCTGCTAGATTAGCTCTGGAAGGTCAGATCACATTACCCAGTCACACATCCTCCAAATTCACTTTCCTCCAGTTAAGATGTTTTTAAAGATATGAGTCAGACGACACAGCACAGATTCAGTTCAGTCAGAAACACTCATCATGATTGAACCATTTGCAGCTACAAATGGAAGCACAGTTAGGCTTGACACTAAAATTGGAGGCAAAACCAGCAGCAGCATTGTGAGGCAGCAATAATACAGTCAGCTTCACACATATTATTTTGATTTAGGATTAAATTAAATACAGCTGAGTACAGAAAATAACAAATACATTTCCAAAAAGCAAGACAATCGTAAAAGCCTTAGAAACACATACAATACATAACATTTGCTTTAAGCCCAAGGAATCAATTAAAACTAATGAAAGAACTAAAACAAGATCAGCTGGAGGTACAATAGGGTGAGATCAAAAACTTGAATTGCCCCAAGAGCCCCTGAAATGAGATAAGCTACAGATTGTTATTCATGTGATTCCATGTTGCACCTGCATGATAAGAACATTTGGATTTACCGAGCTCACTAAAAACTGTTGTCGCCCACAGTGTTTGCTGAGACACCATTAAAACACAAGGTGATGTAAGGGGCTACAAAGACCAGCCTTATAGATTAATAAAATTCAGTGTGTTTCTCGCCTAACAGAGAGAGAGAGAGGGCCATCCAAGCTCGGTATATAGCTCTCAATGATGAGTGTTAGTTATTGTTGTTATATTTCACTTTTAGCACACTGCAGCTCAAATGTTGTTAAATCCCCATGAGGAGCTGCTTGGTTCTGTGAAACCATGTTGCAGGGAAGGGTGGAGCTTTTCTTACAGTGGCTACTACTGTAAGTTGAAGTAACTCCAGCATCAAGAAATGACAAAAAGCCCAGAACCAAAAGCTGAATATAGAGCTCAGAAGCAGACAGCACATTATCAATCAACATAAGTCAAATATCTTAAGTAGTACCGTAGTATTAATCACACAGGGATTCATTAAAACCTTAATAACAGACTGCCTGAGGGCTGCTGAAAAAACCCCAGCAGATTTATTGCCTCAGTTAGTGAGCATATTAATTCTGTAACCACCGGCCACCAAAGCTGTGTTTATGGAGACAGACCTTCAGCCAGACAAAGACAGGTCTCTTCTTGACCAGCCAGGACACACACGATCATCTTCTGGCCCCCGAGGAGCCTGAGCAGCATATTGCAAAGAGCTGACAGTCGACAGGGCTAATGCTCTGCAACTGTGAGTGCCTTGTTTTGAAAGTATCACTTAATAAAGTGCTCTGAAACTGGAGTAAAGAGGAGGGAAATAGACAGAAAGAGAATACCCAGGGGCCAAGTCGAGCCTGCTCCACTGATCACTGAGCTCACCCATCCGAGGCAGAGTTAAAGAATCCAAGTCCCCAACAAATAGACTTGTAGTCATGCACACTTCTATCAGACAGGAGATAGTTCTGTTTCTAATGTTAATTATCTTGTTGCATCAGCTTGTAACACAAAGATTCTGAGATATCACACAATTTAAGAGGAAATCTCTGTTTTTACGTTTATGTTCTATCTGTCTGTGTGTTTGAAGTTCTGAGTTTTACATTTTATCCAGGTTGCAACGTGTGAAAGTTGTCTGGGAATGATCAAACTGTCTCTTGCTTTCTAAAAGTGGACTAGAAGTCTGTGTGAATGTATTATAGGCTACAACTTACTGTACAAATGATTATAAATGAGAAATGCTTGTGCAGAGATGGTGCAAGAGACAAAATCAAATAAACCCAGACAGCCTCAAGGGTAAATTTAATCCCTCACCTGTGTTTCTGTCTGTGTTTCCTTTACAGGTGTAGTGTTGGAAGCTGAATTTCAAAGGAACGTATTCTTCGCTGGTATTGATGTTTGGCAGTGAAACCTTAAACATAAAAGAGGAGAAGACAACTTTTAACAACTGAAGAACTGAAAGACACTAAGTGTTATGTTATGGTAATAGAGACACTGGAGGTCAGTCGTGGCTGGGGGTAAAGTATAAACAGTATTTGAATGACAAACAACATCTCTAAATTTCATCAGCTTTTCAAAATATACACTGAATGTACCTAAATAAAATCAAATAATATAAAATAATCCCAAAGGTTGAATATTAGGCAGACTGCTATGCTTCCCTTAAAATGTCCAATATCACTGCTCAAACTCATGTGTAATATCCCTCTTTCATTATAATGCACCATACATATCACCTATAGTAAACACTGAGCTTAATATTGGACCCCTGAATCCTGCAGTACCCTGAGTAGTGGTTTCCATGTGCGGTCCAGGTGTTTGAAAGTGTCAGGGACACTGTAGGGAGTCATCTGGACCTTCTGATCCTCAGTCTTCTTCCTGTCCAATGCTGACTGATTCAATGGTTTTGGCAGTCGCACGTCCCAGAACATTATAGAGCTTCACAGAAACAGAGAGACACAGGGTTTAACACTGGAATTAATATTAACATGAAACCTAAAATTCAGCATCACCTTCAACAATTTGTTCACGTCACTCTGAAACTGAAGGAAACTTGTGGGCCTTGTCATCTCTCTCATACAGTGATGGCCAAATACACTAGTAGTACTTTTAAAACTTTCTTTAACACCAATCTTTAAACATTGCCCAGACTTATTTTCGTACTTCACTCAAGGAAAACTTGGCTTTTACTTCAAACTGAGTATTTCTACACTGAGGTACTGCTGCTTTAATGTGTGCACTTAGACTTGTGTACCCGAGTCCACCATCACCACCCCCAAGTGGAAGAAATGTACAGTACAGTAACAAAAACACCAAGGAAAAACAACTGCAGCTCTACCTCAGTGACAGCTGATGAATGTATAATTATTATAAAGTTAATAAAAAGAAATGTTTTGTTATTATAGTGTTTTAAAATCATTTTTCTCTTGTGAAGCACTTTGAACTGCACTGACCTATATGAAATGTGCTAAATTTAACTTATTGATTGCGTGGAATAAAAATCAGTCACTCATAATTTAACAAACCATTAGCTGCTACAATACATACACACAAACAGCAAACAAAGACGCAGACAGACTTGAACTATATTGGCGACAATCTGACATTGAGCGTTTCTGTGTATAAGACCTACCAGTCAGGAGAGCAGGTGACCACCTGAACCGAAGTGTTATACTGGTTCTCCACTGGTACCCCCATCCTGGTCACCTGATCACACAGAGAGTTACAAAATCAACAAATGTCTTGTGTCAAGCTCAGTAATGTCAAGAGCTCAGAGTGGAAAGCGAGGCTGTGAAGATATATGGGAGGTTAATGTTCCCCTGGGGGCACTCTGATGATTGCCTTATTTTACTTATCCAGATGAGTTCCAGTGGTTGTCTTGATTTATTATGTAGCGGTCCCAAGAGACGAGGGACAGGCCCCGATAGGAAACCAAAACGCAGTCATAGTTTCACGAGGAAGATTTGAGAAACACTCAGCACTATGTGCGACTTAGGTGGACTAAGATAATTCACTGACTGAATGTGGCCATGGTTGATTATTAGGATTATTTGTATGGCTGCTAGTTTTACTGTACACAATTGTACACTGCTGCATATTCTCCCTGTGGACGAATGTCACTTCAGGTCAGTACATTTTAATGGGTATTCTGTACAGAACATTCAAGGATTTTATTTTTGCTCTGGGCCACTATTTTGAGACAAAACCTGGCTTGCTATGATTATAATTGCAGATTTTAGAAACAGTAAAATAATAAAATATCGGCAACAGAGTGGTGGAATAAATTTTCTGTTCTGTATAATTTTCATTATGAAGTGTAACCCAACTTACCAATGTCACCTCCTGTTGAATATTATAATTCCTATTTCCGAAGCCTCAGTATTTTGAATTCTCCATCAAAGTCTATTCTCCACCGAGCCTACAGTGACTTCACTGTGCACTATAACGCCTTAGCTGCTGTTATACTCTTTTAAATTCAAGTGGCTTTTAAATTGAGTCAGATAAAAACTCCATTACTAGATATAGAAGTAAATATGACAAGATACCTGAGCCTAAGTGTTAAAAGTTTTTGTATTGATTCAAGTCTCCCCATCTGCCTCTCTTAAGTTGGAAACTATGTCGCTGTGTTTACATTGAATGTGATAAAAGAGGTTCAAGATCAAGAAAACATGAAAGAATGATTTGATAGAAATCGCAGCTGTGTGTATCTATTGAGATACTTCAAATGAAAAGCTAATTAATCTCGTGTTCTCCGCTTTTGCTCTGCGTACCTCAAACGTTGGTGGCAGCCACTTCACATCAGTGATTCGTGCTTTGTGGCTGCTGTCCATGGCAGACACTGCACAGCAGCGCACGACAGGAGTCTTTTTCTCTTTGTTGTCATCAAGGTCCTGGTGGGAGGTCAGACACAAAAGGCATGGCATGTATTATACAGTGACAGTTCAATTTAACACAAAGACATCAGGGGCATTTAGGGAACTGATATCTGTGTGTGCAGACTGAAAAAACTGGTTCAAAACATCTACTCCTGCAAAAACCTGAATGCACAAGTGTGGCCGAGTGGTACACTACACCTGTGGTTGGATTTATTATGTACTATGGTGTGAACCGAACACAAATATGTACAGGAGGATTTTAATTCTTCTTTTATCTGATAAGCTAGCAACAGGTGCTGGTGCACTGCAGCTTTCACAGCACTCAAAGCCTTTTAGCTGATACAACTGCCACTGTTTACACTGCAAACACCAGGGAGGGCAGTGATCTGATTTGCTTGTGTATTATCTTCTATGGGGACAAACTATAGTGGATGGAGGGCTTGTGTAACAGCTGGAGTATGTGAGCCTGCGCTGATGCTGTTGACTCTGGGGAATGAAGAGCAAACAAGGACAAAGAGAATGGGGCGAGGAATGGAGGGTGGAGGAGCGGAAAGCAAAAAGAGAAGTAGGTAGTGAGGAGACGGGAGAAGGGATGGAGACAGCTGTTCCACTGTAGAGGCAATAAAAACACACAAGGCAAATAGGGGCTGGATGATGGGGGCATATGTGTCTATTTAAATATGGCAGTCAGGTGGAAGATGTCAGTGGAGGTCAGGCTTTAAGAGACAAAAGTATTTTAATATCTGGTGTTTCAGTGTCTCCACAGGCTACAGTGGATTTAATGTCATTGCAGTGTTGTGGGTCTAAATCTATTGTCATATATCATTGCCTCTCTCTTCTCTAACTTTTATTCATCTATATCACAATTACTCTTTTTATTCTGTTCTCTCCCTTAACTCTGACTGGGGTGTTTGTATGCAGCCTGATAGGCGGCTTTTATTTGGAAGTGTGGTCATATAATGATAAAAACTTTGCTTTGAGATTTACTCTTGGCATTAGTATGTTTGTGGAACTGGTTTTGACAGCTGAGGCTGGCTTGAAAAGGACCATCAGGCCAAAGCATTCCCAGCTAATGAAAGGGTGAGGATGAGGACAGAACTTAGAAGTCAACGTATCATCATCTCACTCTGTCATGCAGCTCCACCGAGGAACGCGGCCTGTCTTTACGGCGAATAAGATGCAAGCTTTGATTCACTGAGGACTCACACTTGGATAAACCAATCTGACATCATCGCTTGCTAAAGAATTATGGTAACTGATGCCACATGTAATACACCAACACAGATAAAGAACACCATGTATTATGGTATCAACATTGAGCACATTAGAGGAAGGATATGGATACTTACGAAGGTGTCAGTGTTGACAGAGACCTTTTTACCACTTGACTGTGCTCTCTGTAAGTGCGTGATGTGACCAGAAATGTCCCATAATACAACCTGAGACAAAAACATCAAAAATTATTATTTACTGAGAATCAAAATCTGAGTCTGGTCTGATAATATGTCTGACAAAAAAATGTCCATGTTTTCAGTTTATTATGAAACTGTGGTGGGACAAATTAAAATAGGGCTACCACGGTCAAGATAATTAATTGGTAACTGACCTTTTTGATAAATCTTAAAGGAAAAGTGATAAAGCAATTATCTATAAAAAACAACTTCAGGGCTGAAAAGTAGCAGAGATACAGAGCAGAGTGAAAGTCTGCACCTGGCCATTCCTGCAGCCGCCAACAATAATATTTGGATCTGAGGGGCAGAACTCAAAGGCGTAAATGTCATCTGGGCACTCCAGCAGCAACTGCAAAAAAAAAAAACCACATAAAAAAACCACATACAAAGGGCAGTAATATAATATTTCAAAGCACACATTTCCATATTGGGTGCTGGCCATCCTGAGTATTTATTTATTCTAGACTCTCCATTCAAAGTTAAGCTTTTAATCCTCCAAACCAAGTGCATACAGGAGATTCCATTTCATCAGACATAAGGGGAAAGAGGCCCATGAAGGAGAGGATGGTATTACAAAGAAGTAATTTTTTAGCCTGATGTTTAAATCAGCTTGAGTTAAAATTAGCTGCATAACCAGACAGCAGCACTTTACTCAGTAAGAAGATAAATATATTTATTTCATTTATATAACATATCTAGTTTCCTCTACACGGGATCATCTGCAACTCTGATCACTGCTCCAGCAGACGGTGAAACCAGAGTATGACACATGCACCAGTGAAGGCATACGTCATGCAGAACTCATGTTACTTTTGAGTGATTTAGCAGATCAGTTTTATTGATTTAGTGACTGGGTCAAATCAATGGAGCCTCTCAAATTTTCCTAAAGCAAATAATGGTTTTGAATGACGGCATGAAGCAAATCCTTCCAGACGTTTCTTATGAGAAAAGTGTATGAGGCGTGAAGGGAGAGAATTTGATTGTGGGAGAAATCTTTTACGACTCATAACTTTCATGTAGATGGGTGTCCCCATGCATGTACTATACCTGGGGATCATAGGGATTAGAGAAGCAAAAGAAGACAATGTGAGACGGTCTGACATCAGACGAAGTCGGCTCATCAGACTGCTGCTCCTTTTTCGCTGTAAACGCCACAGCTATCAAACCTACCACATCAAACAACACAACATACAATGAATCAGAGAGACAGAAGAAAAGATGTAAGGCTTTGTAACTTTACTGATTTAAAAAAATCATCCCTTTCTAAATAAAATATATATTTGCACTGATCACATGTTTTAACACTGATATTATAATTCTGGATCTTTCTGAAGAATGTTGGATCAGTAATGACAGCTGGCCAACATTACAAAGGAGTAGTTATGACCAATAATATCTTCCCATGGAAGAGGATTTAAAATTGTACCACTTGTTAAGGGCAGTGAGATTACAAGGAGAATGAATGTCTTTGATGGATGTTTGTAATTTTGCCTTGTAGATATTTCCAAACCTAATGTTATTTCAGACACTGAAAAACATCTCATGCGCAAAAATAAAGGCTCTGCATGGTATTGCTATTAATCTCAATTGTTCTGCAGCCAGGCACCAGGGGGCAATCAAGATGCTTTGGCTTCACTTTTGGGGCGCTGACATGTTGCTCATTTTCATTTACAGTCAACAGTAAATATTTTGAGTGAGAAAATGTCCACTTCGCCACTTTGGGATTTGTCGATTTACCATAGATAGTCGGGTGCCAGTTGATGCAGCTGATTGTTCTGTCCTTTGAGTACGTCTGGTCTGTGAAGGCCTGATAAAGCATCAATTCTGCAGAATCCTTCCCAGAACATTCACCTTCTTCAGGGCATGTCCCCAGAGCCTTCAAGTCATCAAGGAACACATTCATAATCTCTTCCTGCTGAAGGGCATATAACATCCTGCAAATGAAACAAAAAATATTCTAGATTCAAAACTTTTTAAAAACTTAACTGCAGTGCAAATGGCGTTCACTCATGATCATCATGTACTGTTATCTCTGACCTGGACACAAAAGACCACAAAATAAATATGATGGAGTCTGAGTGAGACTGAGAACAGTATCAAGAACCTGGAGGAACTACAAATCTACAGTTTTATTGTTTAAATACAGTTTTCAACAAGAAATTTAGAAATGTAAGACCATAATTAATGAAAATGAAGATCTATGTCAAGTATGACAGATATGAAGGAATATTTCAGAGCCAGAATTTATTTTTCTTTCCCATAATTGAAGATAAGAAGTAGCTAGTACAGAATAAGCCTTGATGCTGTACGTTATCTCTGACTACAGACAGACACAGCAGGTATCCATAGTATTTCCCACAGTCAAACCAGGTTGATACCTGGTTCCATGCTGGTCTTTTTATAGTTTTATAACAGCATACTAATATCTGTATCGTTTAGAAATAATTTTAAAGACTCCAACATCCCTGTAATATCTCAATGATAGTCTCATAATGAATGGATTTGATAACCCTATGGCTGACGTAGAAATGTATGAGTCTGCAGTAACGTTCAGGGGATGACTTACCTGGGTGTCACTAAGTTGCAAAAGTTCTTCAGACTCTCACTTTGGAGGATATTGTCTTTTTCTTCTTGACTGAACTCTCTGGGCTTGTACTGGGTACACATATTCTTCTTTCTCTTCCTGTAAAATGGACATAAGGTGCTCAACACAAATACATTTGTTTTGATGGAATTCGTGAATGTATCGATACGTGCCCCATTTCAGTAGAAGGCATGAACAAATGAATTGCAGTCCTTACTTTCACTTAGTGTGAATTTTTTTTTTCTCAGTTTCACCAGATGCTAGCAGAAAGTTGTAAGTGCTTTTTTTCTCTTTCCATACAATGTGAAGTGATTTGTTGGCCTACCACTGTGTCTGAGCACTGCTGCTCTGCAGTGTGGGAGCAGCCTGTGTCCCGCAGTCTCTCTGCATCTGCTTGATGCTGAATCTGCTGTCTTGATACGAAGGACACCCCAGGTTGCCATACTTATCATCTGCGGCGTTGCTGTCGGAAAAACAGACTGGTCCCCCAAACATTCTCCGCTCTTTAGAGAACACGAAGCACAGCTGATGACAAAAAGTACAAAGATTACACAGTGAAACGATATGATTTCATATGCTACATATTTAATTTTTTTTATTAATATACTGCAGTACCTTTTCTCTGGTCTCTTTGACAGACTCTTCCTCTATTTCCAGCTCACTGCCAAGTGATATCCATTTCTGTGGCTCTGGGGTTTTATTGACTTCACATTCAATCTCTGCTGGTATCTCTTCAGGCTCTGGGGGCTTAACAAAGCAGAGAGAATTAAAAATTAAAATCAAAATGAAATAGAGACAACTCAGAGCATGTACAGGAAATGAAACAAAAAGGTTTTTGATAATTAAAATTAAAATCCACACAGTAACACTTGCTACCGGTCTTCATCAAACACGGAAAATATATCAGCTAGCAAATCAAATGGTCAATCCAAATCTCCAACCTCTGATACCAGCCATTACTTTAAGCAATAAAAGATGAAACTATAAATAGCTCTGATATAAAAGTAAAGGGAATAATAGATATCACTTTAAACCAAGGCCTGAAGAGGATGTGAAAGACATTAAAAACGGGAAAAACAAACGTGAACCTTCTTGCTAGAACCAAAATTACCACTTCTTACATTGAGAATGAGTTCCTTAGCTTCCTGTGTCATCACCAGGTAGAAACACTGGCCATAAATGAAGTCTCGGTCAAAAACCAGCAAGATCTCATCGTCTGGGTAGTCCTGTCCACAGCAGAGAGAATACAGGGTCAGATTCACATCAGACAACTTTTATTTCCCATCATTTAGCTGTTTTCATTATTGGATTTATTCTGGCAACCACAAGGAAACTTTCTACACTAACCGTATGATTAGATTAGTAAATGATGGAGATGCCACTAAAACTGAAGGATGTGTCCCGAATAAGAAAGCAGACCTTGCAAAAGACTTTCCACACCCTCAAGATGCTCTATGGCCTTAATAAATGAATGTAGTTTAATAGTAGGAGCATTAATGCTTAAGTAAGAATGGTGGATTTAATCTAGATCAGACAATGAGGGAAAATTAGGTTAAACTGATAACTCTCTGTTCCCACAGCCCTTAACTGAGGGTCTGCGTATCATCACAGTGTCTTGGGGGTATTGACTGAGTGATCTCCATAACAATAGAGTCAGCCTCACCAGCACTCTCTGCTTCACAGGGCTGAAATCAGACACTGCAGCTCTTGTCTTAATGTCCTGTATGATGTCGTCCTTTTTCAGCAGCTTGTAAGGACTCTCGCTGGTTACGTCCTCATCTGCACGGCAACCAAAGAGCTCCTGGGTCACCGACGTCAGGACCATGGGGAAGATATCCTCAGGGTGATCTGCATGAGATAGTTAACAATCAATATGGAGGACAGAGTAAATTAGATGTTAAAATTAGCTAACCTCAAATTTCCTGAGCACACTTTTTAAGGTGTCACAGCCGCTACCAGTTTAATCAGTAAGGACAAATTGTACACTGCTTAATAACTCAATATAAAATAAATGAATTTAAGTTTTTTTCTATTGTGTGAAGGCATCAGGCCAAAGCAAAGAAGCAAGGAAATTCCAGTGAAGCTTAACGATGTATAGATAAAGCAACGACAAGTCTACATGGAAGATGACTCCCTCATCAAAGGCAATCTTAAGATTTGATAAGTAGTAGTACACTCAGAGATAAGTTTCAAGAAAATGTATTCAGTACTTTTTGTGTAATCCTGCTAACAGACAAGACAGGGCAAAGTAAAATACAACTCCTCTTGTGGACTCTATGGACTGTAACACAGATTATTTTTTGATCAAACATCTCTAATCCTACACCTGCCTGTCTCTGCAGGCTGGACAACCCCACATGTACCTCAGGATGAAATGAAATCCTTGTGAAAAGCCTGCACACTAGTTCCAAATGCTTGAGCGGGGGATGTGCTGCTGTTTTATTACGACTCAGGCAGGTGAAACACAGATCGATGATGCATAAATCCAAGACATAAACTGCTCAATTACAGACATAAACCAGAACTATATAAAACTGCAGCACTGCACCATCGCCTCGGCACAAGAAATCTATGTAGCCTCCTCCATATCTAAGTTCAGGCTCAGTCCAGGGCACACTACTGTAAACAGGGCTCTGTATAATGATAGTTTTCCTCCTGCTTGTGGTCTCACTCTTCAAAGTCCTTCCACAAGGTTGCTGAGGAGACGCTGGGAATGCACAAGTACAGCTTAAGTAACCACTTCCCCAGCTGGGTGTGTCAACCTCTTCCACTCACACCACTTAGACCTCGCACCAAATCATTGTAGTGGAAAAAACTCACACCCCTCATTTCACACAGTCATGTATCAACCATGGCATTTGTATTCATAGGAAGTATTTGCTTGGAAATCAAAGCGACTGTGATGTGCTATGTTCCACAACCCATAAGAAATGCAATTAACTGTATTGGTCGGTTGGTAGGTTTAAATTTGTCAGGCCTCTTTACCCTCACATAATTTACCCAAAGCGAGCCAAGAATCTTTTTGATTACATATTTACATATAAGATTTCTATAGTAGCCTATATCACAGCATATCTTAACTCTGGTTCGTCTCTTCTGATAAGGAAATTAAGAAAAAACAAGAGGGGTGCATTTATGTATGTGTTATTAGGCCACCATGTTGTCACATGATGGGGACCAAACTCCTACAAGGTAAACCATTACATTTTGGGGTTAAAACCTGGTTCCATGTTAAGTACAGGATCAGGGTTGGGTTAGAGTAAATACCTGGGAAACAAAAACAAATGTATTCAGGATGTGTTCATTTTAGGAGGTCAAACAAACTTGCACTTACACTGGTGCTAGTGTGAAAATGGATAAAATTGATAAATGAAACAGAGTCACTCTAAAACTAAGGAATGTTACAACCATTACTTTTAAACATCAACTAGTGCCGATGACCTAATCTTTAGTAAAAGGATACACTACACACTGGTGACCTGCCTTTGACCAAAAGTGTTCGGTCTAAGGGTTTTTCTGGGTTGGTATGTAGAACGTAAAACCAAACCTTGACAATGGGGCACCCACAGCTGAGCAGCATGCCCAAAGGCAGTAACAGTACACTCGTGATCACATCAGAATAATGCTCATAGTCTTTCTGACACCTCAAATAGCTCTCTGATTTTCAGTTTCTGCCATGCTTGTTACATCACTACTTGTAAAGGCACTTCTAAAGAAGGAAGTGCCCTGAACTTTCTTAAATAATTTAATTCAGTGGGCTTTGCAAGTATTGCTTATTTGAAAATTGAAAATTTAAAGCTTTGACTGCAAAATTTCAAGTTGTAAAATCACCAATTTTACTGGAATTGTTAATTTCTGAATGGTTATGTGATACTAATGAATGAGAGTAAAAAGTCATTTATTTTCTCTTACCAGGCTTTTCTATAGGAGCAGGTGACTCGGGCTTCCTGTCTGAATGGAAAATAACAGTCAGTTCAACCTTCTAAATACTGTGTTTCTCTGTTCATTCCTAAGAAATACATTAACATTAGTAGTAGTATTCAGACACTCACCTTTATGTTTCATCTTGCCTGCACTGCTTGTTGCACTTTTTGGTCTCTTCTGTGGCATCTTTACTTCGCTAACAACAACTGAAAACAACACACAACATTACACAAAACACCAAACTTCACATTTGTATCCACACATGAGTTTCACTGGGTGACTCATACAGGCTTCATACACACAGTGGCCACACTGAGTGCTTCCTGTCATTATAAATACACTGGGCGACATCTTGTGGAAGATAAGAGAATTGCCCTGCCAAATTGATTTTATTCACTTCTTCACTGATAAAATTGAAACCATCAGAGAGAAAATTCACCTTTACTCCCCAAACACTCAGTCAAAACGGTAACCTATGAAAAAAGTGTAGAGCTAGACTCACGTTTAGATCAGTTCTCCCAAATAACCCTTTCACAGTTATCTTCAATAGTTTCATCCACTAAAACTTCAACCTGCTTGCTGGACCCCATCCCTACTCAGCTCTTTAAAGAGGCTGTATTGAATCTTATCAATAGCTCTTTATTAACTGGCTATGTACCACAGGCTTTTAAACTAGCAGTAATTAAGCCTCTGCTAAAGAAGCCTAGTTTAGATGCAGGTATCTCAGCAAATTCCAGACCTATATCAAACCTCCCCTTTACTTCTAAACTTTTAGAAAGAAAAAAAAATCCTCCTACTGACCTACAAGGCCCTCAACAATCAGGCCCCATCCTACATTAAAGAGCTCATGGCTGACATGTAGGGTCACGCAACCACCAGCACTCTCACCTGAGGACCTCTCACCTGTGGAGCCATGGGTCCACCTGCTGCGCATGTTGCACCAGGAGGGACCAACGCACCCTCGGAAGACCATGCCACCTTTACAGCCCTCATAACTTACTGTGTAAAAAAACTCTTGAGTGGTGACACAGATATTTTACCTCATGCATGTTCAGGGTGACCCAAACTGTCTTTATGTCAAGTTTCAGAAGAGTTGTCAAATTTGACTATTTTTTTATTTAGTACTCTTAACTTGCTAATTTTTTATTATTAAAAAACTCTTGAGAGGTGACACAGATATTTCAATGGAGTCATGTTCAGGGTGACCCAGCCTGTCTGTCTCTATATAGAGTTTAGGAAGATTTTACTGTAGTATTTTAGAGAAATCATATTCCTAAAAATATGGTGGATGTACTTTTGTCAAAGTAGTAGTAGTCAGTATTGTGTTACAGTATATCTAGCACTTATATATATATGTATATCATATAATCTGATATGTATAACAAGGCATTCAAGTGTACTGCAATTAAATGTTGTGCATTTAATATTAACTGCTTTATATACTCTTAATTTAACCTACAATGATATAATAATTCTTTAACTAACCACATGTTTTGGCTGAAGTGTTTGAGTCAATATATAGAAACTATATTCATATAATATATTGATAGAAATGTAAAGTAATGAAAGGTAAACACTCAAGCCAGTAGGAACAGTATTTAAATAAAACGTATTGAACCACCTAACTTTCCATCATATAATCATATGTAACGACAACAACTTGATCTATTACTCTACAACAGGTAGCTAACTAATGACACTTAGCTAAATTGCTCTGGGTTTGCTAGCTAACTGATAACACTTAGCTAAATTGCTCTGAGATAGCTAGCCTTTTATTAGCACGACAACTCGGACGAAAGGAAGTTGGAGCTGTTGTTAGTTAATGATAAAAGCTGTTTTATCAGTGAGGGTCAGTCAATGGATGAATTAATACGTTTTTACCGCTCGTTGAAACTTTAGCTTGAACTCCGCTCCGTACGTTTGTTTTGTTGCCAGGGGTTACAGGAGCAGGCGGTGGGGGAGGCGTAAACTGACAGCTCCGGGAGCCAATCGGACGCCAGGATTAGAACACCGCCCCCAGCTACGTAGGGAGCGTCCACCTGCGCCATTCACGACGCAGTTTGAGAAGTTTACCCACCGACACGTCTGGTCGTCGGGTCAGAAGCGTCAGTTCTGAGGATCTGAGAGAAAGATGAAGTTTTAACTGAGACCAACTTCCGGACTCGACAGGTGAATCCAATCCGAGGTTGATCAACCTGTGCAGGTGAGCAGCCTCGTTATCCTCCGTTTACTTCCTGTTCTCCGTCCACCGGGATACAAACGCACGGAGGTTCCACTGCTCCTCTGATAATGGTAGTTTCATGATTTACTGTCATGGTGGAAGATGTTCAGGCCTCAGGACGCGAGCTGCCCTGTGTTATTCAACAATGCTCAGGTACATGCGACTCCACGTCCTTCATTCCCTGTCCTCTCCTCGGTCACATGCTCAGTTTGCCATGTGTCATACTGGTAAATAAGAGTAAATATATATGTTTAAACGTAAATATAAGTTTAATTTGATGTAAACCTGCTGTTCCTCTTCAAGTACATGTACATTTAACTCAGGGCTGGGCGATATGTCAATCAATATCACAATAAATGTTATGTTTTTATTTCTGTTTAGTTTGAAAACTTATTTTTGCTCCTGAGTAAAAATGTGTTCAACTAAACTCTTGATAAACAGCAACCAATAGATCAATAGCTGTGTTATACCTCCACACTGTGTTAAAAAATATGTCCACATGAAACAGTCAAAGTTTAGAGGGTAAGTGTATTGGACTTCATGATATCATTTTTCTATTCATACTAATTTTGTTCTTTTATCTGAGTAGAATTGTGGTAAAAATAATAGAAACAGCTTTAAGTCTAATACCACAAAAACGCATCAGGTTCTTTCAATCACTTCATGAAATATTCAGGAAACACTGTAAACTTTAACGTCTCCATAAACAAGAGGCCATTCAGGTTCAAATGTCTGTGGGGCCAAGTGACACTAAATAATGAAATCCAGTGTACGCATGCCATTACACATGTAGTAGGTTTAAACATCAATATATTAAAAACATACTCAAAAGGTTTTTATTTCACAAGATGATGCGATTACAAAAGTGAAAAACTCTCCTACAGCGTGTAGTCAGCAAAAAGTAGTTATTTTCTCTTACCAGGCTTTTCTACAGGAGCGAGTGACTGAATCTTCTTGTGTGAAGAGAACAACACCACAACAAATACAACAAGTTCTTATTAATCAGCATATTCCTGAAAAGGAAACACTGTAAACTTCATAAACGACAGATTTGTTGCAGGGAAATCACTTTTAGTAGCCTTACATTGTAAACATGTCCCCTTAAAGAAAGAGCCATCCATGTTCAAGTGACATGTTTGTGAAGCTGAGCGACTGATTTATTTGTTGGCACCAAGTCAAAACATGTTTTTCTTCCCCATGTTTCAATAATCTTGTCACACACACAACATTTGTTTCAGATATGGAGGAGTCCAGTGACTTGTATGATGCATATGAAACTAATGCCGCCCCTGCATGGGAAGAGCACCAGCATCAGTGTCTGGAGGAGCTGGAAAGTGTGGAGTGTCTCAGAAGGAAGATCAAATTCTACTTCATGAACCCCTGTGAGAAGTATCATGCTCGTGGAAGAAAGCCATGGAAGCTCGTACTCCAGATCATTAAAATTGCTATTATTACCATCCAGGTAAGTCGTCTCAGACGTGAGCCGAACAGATGTTACCTTTTAATGTCTCACCTCCCGGATATAAGCAAATGTCTTTTCCCATTTCTCACAGTTGGTGTCTTTTGGACTCAGTAACCAGATGGTTGTCACGTTCAAGGAGGAAAATCTGATGACTTTCAAACACCTTTTCTTGAAAGATTACGTTGATGGAGGCATGGATTCGTATGCCGTCTACAGACAAGAGGATGCGTATAATCACATCGATTTCATCATTAAACAGGTAAATGAATGCTGAAATCTTCCTGATAGCAATTTATTTATGCTGCAGCTCTCGACCTGTTGTTCTGGTGTTACTGTAAATCATTTGCTGGAGTATAAGCACTTGTGATGAGCGACATCTTGTCACGGGATTGGACTTTGATCATGTCACTTGATGCAGTCATGTAGTTGTTGTCATAAAACACTTCACTGAAACAACCCTAAGCCATAACTTGATTGTTAATTTGTCTCTTCCAGTATGGACATCTGCATAACATCACATTAGGAAATCATGAATATGACAAAGATGGTGGCGTCTACACTCCGCTGTCGCTGTGTCAGGAGTACTACCAAAATGGTTCCATCTACTCTGGAAATGACACGTTTGAAATTGATGCGCATGTTCAAACTGGTATGCATGTTTGAGTTATGTGCGGAAAACTAAATGTTTAAGTTTATTGTTCATTGAAAATATTGTTGTTCTTTTACATGATCATTTTCTTTCTGTGTCTAACAGATTGCCTGAAAATATTTCCAATGTATCATCCATCATTACAGGAAGCACTTCCACATTTTGAAATTTATTTCAAAAGGTGAGTACACAGCATTAAGCTATGCTTTTTTTTTCTTAATGCAAAAACATTTTCCTACCTTGGTTTTGTTTTTAATAAGAACTTCTGTCAGTTCATGGAAACCATGTCTTTCAGGATGCTCTCTGTCAAGATCACGTTTGTTCTCAAGGCCATAAATTTACAGACTGTGAGACATCGAGAGCTGCCAGACTGCTACGACTTCACCGTGATCGTACGTTACTTGACTTAAGACTTTTTTCTTGTGATGTGGCAGATATGATCATTTGTTTCTGCTTTAATTATGAATTATTTACTCAGGCACTTCACCTGTTCAGAGTTTAAATGACAAGAGAATGTGAACCTTGCATTTATTTAATAAAGCTATTTTTAGACGTGAATCAGAGCAGTACAAAAGTTAAGGTTTTCGCACAAGACATCTGCTATAAACACAGTTAAATATTAACTGAAGGGCCTGGCAAGTAAATGTTTAACTATTTGGGTAATAGCAATATGGATAAAGACTTTAAAGAAAATTCCTTCCTCCCTGAAATGTGTCTGTGTGTTTTAATAGATCACTTTCAACAATGAAGCTCACAGTGGCAGGATAAAGATTGACCTGGAAAATGATGTCGACATCAACGAATGCAGAGAATGGAAAGTAACTGGAGCATGTGAGTTTATAGACTTGATTTCAGAGCAAACTAAGGAATCATCTGTATTGTCGGGATTCATTTTGGCTAAAAGACCTGGGGCTAAAACGTGTCTGTTCCCTCAGCTGCTAGAAGCATTTACCTGACCGTGCTGTTTGACTGCCTCATCATCATAACGTGCGTCACCTCCTTCTCACTCTGCACACGCTCGGTGATTAATGGGATTCAGCTGCAGTTAGTGAGTATTTTTGTTGGCTCATGTAATAATCATACAGACCTAAGAATAGGTGTAATTGTCAGATACAAACTATCTGGAAAAAACATGCAGTTCATCTGTCATCTAGTATTCACTTCCTCTAAGCGTAACCATTGATCATTCATCCATGCAAACAAAAACACAAGTGATAACTTTCTTAAAAAAGCTGTTTTGTATGACCTGTAATTTTTTTATTTTTTGTTAAACAGGAGTACTCGCTGTACTGCAATCAAAAAGTCCCAATGTCAGACAAGTTGGAGTTTTTGAACGGTTGGTACATCCTGATCATTGTCAGCGACACACTCACCATCATTGGCTCCATTCTGAAGATAGAGATCCAGACCAAGGTAAGGAGACTGAGTCATGGTCAGTTTCATGATGTCAATTACAGCCTTTCATTGCTTTACTAACTCTGTAAGCTGCTGTCTACAGTGTACACGCATATATTTTCAGTAAATCAGACTGATAATCAATTTTGTTTCTAGGTCCTCACAAGCTATGATATTTGCAGCATCCTTCTCGGCACCGGCACCATGTTCGTCTGGATCGGGGTCATCCGCTACATGGGCTACTTCAGGAAGTATAATGTAAAACCAGATTAGTTCATCCTTGCACTAATTCAACACTGCTCATCACACAAATCCCATATGATGCAAATAGGAACAATAACACTGTTTGCTCTTATTTTTGTATTTCTCTCTTTTTATTTCCACACTGTCCAAAATAGATCTGACTCTATTTCAACACACGTCTTATTTTGAAGGTTCCCTTTTGTTGCAGTGTAACATGATTTAGAATGTAACATCATCTGCATGAAGTCTTGTACCTTGGCATCACATAAGAAATTATTAAAGGCTCGTTCTTGATGATAGCCTTTAACGACATGTTTAACTTGACTGTGCTCAAAGAGAAAATGTAATCTTCAGTGTGGTTTCTAGATACTCGTCCTCAGTGCATTTTTCAGATCTGTTACCATGTGTTCACTGGTTATTTTCAGATCCTCATCCTGACACTCAGGGCAGCTTTCCCAAACGTTATCCGTTTCATCTGCTGTGCTGGAATCATCTACCTCAGTTACTGTTTGTGCGGCTGGATCGTGCTCGGCCCATATCACGAGAAGGTGAGGAGTGTTTACACAACACTAAGAAAACTTTGCACAACTTAACTGAAGCCAGACCTGAGAACACTTTAGTCCCATCTCTGCAATCATGAGGACAAATAACATAATCATCACATCTCTGACATCCTCTTTCTGTTTTAGTTCCGGACCTTAAACACAGTGTCAGAGTGTCTGTTCTCTCTGATCAACGGAGACGACATGTTTCCCACCTTTAAGAACATGAGGCAGAAGAGCAGCCTGGTGTGGATTTTCAGCAGAGTCTACCTCTACACCTTCGTCTCGCTCTTCATCTACATGGTCCTCAGCCTGTTCATTACAATCATCACTGACACCTACGACACAATCAAGGTAAATGTTAATCACTCTGTATTAAGACTCATTTTTTAATTTCTCTACTTGGTTGGTAATGAGTTCATGGGAATAAGCAGAACTAGTAGGTGAAGGAGAAGATTTGGGGCTTGACAGCCTTTGGTTTCTGTTTCTAGTTTGATGAATCGTGTTTGAGCAGATGTGCTGCTCAGATAAACAGTCTGTGTGGAGAGCATATGCAGATACAGTAGCTGTTAATGGACATGAGCCAAACTGTCGTCTGGACCTTAAACATTTACTGGAAGTTTGTTTTGTGTGTTAGAGCGTTTGACTTGTGTGATAAAATAAACTAGTCGGACTGTTAACGGTGTACAATAAATGGAAAACCCAGATATCCACTGTCCACTGATTTACAGTCTGAACTAGAGTGGCACTCCCATCGGCCCAAGTCCCTAAATATGCATCTTTCCCCCCCATCACGATCCATTATTATTTCCTTGGAAATTGAAAATGTCAAAATGCCGTACCACGAACAAAGAGAAATTCCTGAATCCAGCACAAAATTGAATTTCGTCTTTCTTGGCCCATGTTCCATCCTTCCATGAAGCTTTGTGGAAATCTGTTCTGTAGTTTCTGCATAATCCTGCTGACAAAGAAACAACAGGAGTAAAAACAGAACCTCCTACAGGGTAATACTTGTAATGCAAATTTTTTAAGAAGTATTTTTATGCCTACATTGTCAATTTGTCTGATTCATTTAGCAACAGCAGCAGAGTGGAACCCCGACATCTGAGCTGCAGAAGTTCTTGTCAGTGTGTAAAGATTTGCCAAACTCTGGCGTGTACAGACTCAACAAGACAAACGACTGCTTCTTGAACTGCTGCATCAACAGGTAAGATCAGACGTCCACTCACCGATAATCCTGTTTCTCTGGAATGAGTGATCTTATCAGTTTCTGTTTCGGAACCACAGCTCAGATCGTGTTAGGTCAGCTGTTGTGGGTGCCCATTATTTGCACATTAAACTGAGGATGCAAGTGCAATGTGTCAAAATGCTTTACTCCATGAAGTCAATGGTTAAAAAAAATCTTTAAAAGAATCTTACATTAAGCCACTTGCTTCTTTCAGGTGCAGGAGGCGTCAGGAGAGGCTGACTTCAGAGGCTTAGACGGACCTTTAATGTGAAGATACTGAAATAATAATGATAAATGTGCAATGAGGAAGTCTTAAATATTTTCTTCCTGCTCCAGGTTTGTTCAGGTGATTATTTTCCACAGCTCAAAAGACTGAAGCAAGTGGACATGAAGGTTAAAATAAAAGACCTGAGATAATTTAGTCTGGTCTGTATGATGCAGTGATGTGAAGAAGACTTTGTATATACACTTATTTATATTGATATGAAATTGAAAAATAGACTGACAATAAAAATGTAAGTTGAAGCAAATGAATCAAATTTAAATAAAAGCTGTAACGTAAATTCATGAGATTTTATTTCTCCATTGTCAGGAGAACGTATCAGTATAAAGGTTAAAATAACATTTCTTTTCCTCACTAGTTAATCATCTGTAAAATCTTGTTACATAGAAGAAAAAAATCCCATTTCACTTCATGGCAATGATGCTCCACTTACACAACCTTAAACATTAAAACTGTCCGTGTTACAGTCTTCAAAAGCAATATCCAGAAGTAGCTTCTATAAATGGCTCCACTGGTCACCGGTGGAGCAGTAAGGATGGACGTGAACCTTTATTTCCCTGAAGAAGTTCTTTCATTTGATCATCTGTGACGAGTTGCTGGAGAGGTCAGAGGTCAATGATGTTCCACTTTGCTCCACCATCGTAAAGCAGAAATTCCTTCAGATTGGCTTATATCCTTAAAGCAACTGAACAACCCACAGTTTGTACGAGCGACTTGATGCAAGCCTCCAGAGCAGACGGACATCACTGGTCCCAAAGTGTCTGATAAAAGCAGTCGGCACAGAGACGGTTGACCCTGGTATTTCCTAAAAGCCTGAAAAGCTACATTTCCCATGATTTCACAGTCACAATGACCAGTTCTGTGTTATTTGACACCTTAATTCCTCATAATGTCACTTGTATTCTTGGCATTCTCATGTGAATGTTGTCAGGACAACTCCAAAAGGCAGGAATCAAGGGTCATGTGGTTACAATAAAAAAAGCTTGGTTACTTCATAAGGGTCCTGAGGTAACATCACAAATCGCTGCATGGGGTCAGTCTAGTTTGGTTTGGGTAACGCCAGGGGGCGGCTGGACTCGCTGCTCCTCCATCCTGTTGGACTGGGAACGCAGGATGAGACTGAAAAAATCCTCGTCTGGAACCGTCGGGCCCTTAGATGTAGAGGATTGAGCAGAAGGTGGAGCAGGGCACCTCTGGTCGTTAAGTCTGGACCCCTGAAACATCGCAAGAGACAAGAGTATGGGTCACTGTGGGTCTGAAACAGTGCAGAAAGATGAACTCCTCCATGTTATCAAATTGGACGTGGAGAAAACTTAAGTCGAAGTCACTTCCAGTAAAATTGAAGTATTTCAGTAGCTGCACATTAGATCATATCAGCATGGAAACATGTAAAAACTATTTCTACAGTGAAGCACAGTTCAGGGAGAATATAGTTTCTAACAATACATCATGACCAAGTTAAATATTTAATCAGGGTTTCTGCAGGGTCATGTTATTTAACGACACTTTGAGACCATAATGTCAAGTGCAAAGGGAAAGTCACTGAGTAGAAAAGAAACAGAAGAAGCAGAAATGCAACGTTATCTCACAAACTACAGAGACAGTTGGTGTCGTAATATCTGCATCATTGAGAAATAACTACAACACAGGGAAATTACAAACTCTGCATGATGCCAAAACTAAGGAAAGGTCATATTTTAACAAATTATATTATACTTAAACTGTATCTGCTCCTCTTTTTATTGGAATAAAGTTAAAACAAGCATCCTCCATTTTCAAAACAGACAAAAATAGTCACTTTTTTCCAAATGGATTTCTTTTTCTCACCTGGCACTTAACGAGCATGTCGAAGAAGACGTCGTCGCCTTCGGGCTGCTCAGCACTCGCCTCGAGTCGACTGAACAGGGAGGGTGTCTGAGGGGTATCTGTGCTGGAGGTGGGGGCTGGGAGGGGAGAAAAAGAAGCATTAAACTCTACGTACGTAACTTGACATGAATCTTGATGTAACTCCATCATTCCATCACCTTGTGTGGGGACTTCTGCGCTGGAGGTGGAGGGTGTACGCGGCGGGCTGAAGGTGCTGAGACGTAAGCCAGGAAAATGGCTCAGGTTGACTCGCTGGTCGTCCAGACGACGGGCCTGGGAGCTGGCCAGCAGCTCCAGGAAATGACCAGGATCCTGCAATGGTGGTTCGCGTGCCGAAATAGCTGGAAACAAAGATGGTTATTATCTGTGGGTTAGTTGTAACTAAAGTAAAATGTGGCTTGTGAAGGGAACGGCGAGTTTTACGTCTCTACTCTGCATTTCGTTTTTGATTTGCAGGAGGTGAATTAAGTACAACATGGATCAATTGTTCCAAGTTTGCATTTGTTTTATGAAACTTGAGGCAACCCTGGGCAGAAAATCCACATTTTGAGCATCAAACACTTCCCTCAACCTTGAAAATTGTCTGTAAAAATGTAGTTGAGTCGTCCATCGAGCACAAACACTGAAAAGCTTGTTTTCATATCGGACAGAAAGTGTCCAAAGATCAATTGAAAGCTTTTAAGCTCTCAGAGCTCTGGGGAGTGAGTGATACTCAACATTTAATGTTAAAGGACACACAAGCTGCATTCACACCATGAAGTAAACGGAGAAAAAAGACCTTTGTATCTCAGAGTTTCCTTTACGTCTTTCCACGGGATCCTTTTTAATTCAGAAAATGTGAACGATGGTGTGAACGCAGATGAAGACAGGAGGGGCTGACTCACATTTCCTTTCAGCTACGGGTGGGGTGGAGGAGGGAGAGGAATGGGCGGGGAGATGGCTCTGGCCATCCAGTAGACAGCACCTTTGGTCGTCCATTCGGCTGCCCTGGAAACGAGAGAGGAGGTCGAAAAAGCCGTCCTCTCCGATGGTGTCCCGCGATCCTGCCTATAGTGTGAATTAAATAGAAAAACTAAGTAAGGACACGTTACACAATCCTCAAAGACACAAGGATTCTGTTATTTTACTACTGAATAATCCAAGTACATCCACCGATGCCTGAAGACAGTGAAACGGGCAACTTTCCCAGTTTCAGACTTTTAATGAACCAAATTAAAAATAGATTCAACCAAAGAATAACTGATAAAATAACCACTAATCAAGAAGGTCAATAATGTTTGTCTCAGCCCTTTCAATGATGTTGATTAATTCAGATTATTAATTCTCGTTTTCTGAAAGTCTGAATCACGGTTCATATCTCTGTTAGTTTTGGTTTGACGTTCAGGAATCACTAGATCCACCTACAATTGACATGACCTGGTTTGTAGAGGGGCGTGTGTCTTCTTTCAGTTAGAATGGAGACGGTTCGGGCGCGGTACTCAACACGAGTTCAAATGCACCGAATGAATGTTCTGGACATTCAAACATTTTATCATCTGAGGAAAAAACTTGTGCTTCTATGGTTTGATTTCCCACAATTGGTCCAAATGTCCAAACTATCAAACTGTTGTGTTTTCTCAACGATCCGAAGATGCGGTTCAGTTTGATCCGGACCAATAATAATAAAATAACTTTTCGCATGACTGCAAATATTCTTAAAAACAGACAGAGAACACGGCTCAGTTCAGCTTCTGAAAAATAACTATTCATTTCGAACCTGACTCATCTTTGCTCTGAACAACACATGAGTCAGAAACAATGACCACACACACTCAGCATTATTTCTTCCCACAGTCGTAACACTGGTCTCACTTATTTACTTTTACTCCAGTGTGAATCATCGTTAATCCTCTTGTGGGTTTTTTTTTCCTGGGAAGTTTTGAGTGGGCAGGGCAACGCATTTAGCAATACCTTGATGGACACCGGTGTTTCCTGCTCTGCTGTTGTGTGCTCGCTTCGAATTTCCCGTTGTTCTTTAGGAGGTGATTTGTTGCTCTTGTGCTTCTTGCTTTTCAGCCGATGGAAGAGGAAGAGTTTAGTGGAAGCTTTGATTGTGTTGTTTTTTGAAGAGCTGGGTAATGTGTCCTCCTCCAAGCCCTGTACAGTCAAGGTGCACACAGAGAGATAATTAAGTGTCACAGGTCTTTTGTTCTCTCATGTTACCCTTGAAGATTTAACAGGTTCTCAGGGAAATGAATTTGCCCCTGGACATTTGTTTGTCAGCAGGCTTACACAAATCCAGAACATGCATGGGCAGGATAATTTGTTCTTTCTTAAACAGTACACAGGCATTTTTTGAGATTCTCACAAGTTGCCAAGAGAATAATTCATGGATGTTTGTGAAATGTATGAAAATAAATTGCAGAGTTGCATATGCATCAAAATCATGGAAGCTGCTGAACATTTCAATCACTTTTACAACTATGAATAAGCATCAAACTAAACAACTGTTGTCATTATAATGAACAATATTAGAAAAATAAGGAAATAACTTTAAAGCCAAGTGGAGCAGAGCTCACAGACAGTTTACAGTGGGGCAGTTTTGGATTTGCACGTGCAAAGTAAATTGGTGAAGCATCTAATTAAGTCAAGAGGTTTTGAAATCATTTTGATGAAACATCCACTGAGTAAGAAAACATTAGACACTTGACATCATGTGTGTTTCTGCCTTGTGCAGTAAATCGACACAGTAACGTACTGGCTGTGCTGGTGAGTCTGCAGGTTGATTTTTGTCAGGACTCGGACTCAGCTTCAGGTTCTCTGCACTTCCTCTCTCCCTTAACGGAGACATCATCCCTGAGACAAGATGGAAAATTCATCAGGAACATTTTACACAGCACGTTCACAGCTACAGTTTTGCAGCGATTTAAAAACAAACGAGCATTTCGCTGATAAAATTGCACAGATTCACAAGTGTAATGTTTTATTTTGACACGTTCCTAAAAGGATTTGTCTGTTACTTTATTCTGAGGACTGGTAACCTACCTGTGAAGTTTGTGTTACCCTGGTAGCTCACTGGCAGAGGTGAGTTATTCATATTTGTGTTGCGGAAGATGTTGGGATGGATGTTAGAGGTGGACTTCAGGCCTACAACCAGCCGCAGGTCCGACAGGTTCATCCTGGCTGTGACCTCGCCACTTTTGTCTCCGGTCTACACGAGTCCACAACAAAGAAAAATCATAAGTGTAAATCTTTCTGCACTGGTTTTGTCACTTCTCTCTCCGTAATAAATATTAATGCATGTATACACATAGCAGCTGAATTCAGAGTCTCAAGCGTTATTGCTGCATTCAACCAGTAGATGGGGCTGTGGTCTGACAGGGAGGAGGTGAAACAGTAAACATTCACCTCTTTGGCAATTTCCAGATGTTTCTCAGCAAAGTACATGGCTTGCTCATGATTCCCCAGGGCGGTGTGGGCATTTCCTAGACTCCAATACGCTCTTCCTTCACCAACTCTGCAGTGACACACACAGGAAAACTGGTTCAGCAGAGTCAACAGGGATTTCGCAAGAACTGGGAGGACGTTCCTCAAACTGTTATGTAGCACAATCACAAATTTCACAATGATCAAAATGCCACATCAATATTTGTCAGAGTACACTCATGTTTTCAAAGAACTCTCCCCCTGTTCTACCTATTATATCAATGTATAAAGAGAAAAGGGAGGAAGAGAGGGAGAGTCCTACTACCACAAAGAATTTGGCTTTCTTCCTTATTTTTTAGAATATATGTATATGTATATATATATATACACACACATACACATATATTTAAACAAGTTCTCCAAGCAAGAAAATATTTTATATATATATATATATATATAATATTTAATAACATGTACACAATTGTGTTTTCAAAAGTTCATTTCTCTAAAAGTAATAGATTTTAATACTATTTGGTTCAAGAACATGCTAAATATGTTATAATAATAATAAATGGGTAAATCATTTAGTAAGTTTAGGCAATAGATTAGATCAAATCTATTAGACTGATTTAGTGAGAGAATGAATGGGCTTGAATGTAAATTCCCCATAAATAAATGCATTTTACATGACAATAAAAAAAGCTGTGTAAGTTTATAGTAAAAATAATCCTGCTTCCTTTTCCTGATACTAAAAAGAACTGCACCAACACTAGATATTTGAGGAATGCTTTGTTAGCAGAGCTGTAGTAAAGGAGGAGCCTTTGTATAATGACTTCAACTGTGTTGTTGTTGTTGTGTTGACTTTCATCTCTTTATCTTGTACTTAGATCATAACTGACCATATCTGCTGGCTGTGGGCAGCGTTTCAATGTTGGGGTTAATCAAAATTTTGTAAATAGAAAGTCTTGTTTTAATGACTAATTCTTAATTGTTTTTCCAACAACATTAAATTCCGTCAGTGGTTTCCTTGTGACCTTATCTGCTTTTCAGTGTCTTGTGTGTTTAACAGTATCGACCCCACGTTTCAGAAAATGCTTAGTTCAGGGTCCAGCCACATTCAAACTGCACACGCCCATTATTCCTGAAAAGGCAAATTTAGCAGGAAAGCAGCTCTCTTTACAGCAGATACCTGTCGTTGAGGTCCTGAGCGATGACCAGATGTTTGAGGTGGTAATCAATGGCTCTCTCAAAGTCCTGCAGCAGCGTGTAGGTGTTGCCCAGACTGTAACAGGCCTGGGCCTCCACGGCTCGGTCCTTCAGAAGCCTGGCCAGCTGCAGCGTTCTCCTGAGGGCAGAACAGAGGAGGAGGAAGGTCAAAGAATGTCGAGGGTGGGTGCAGAGGAATGATAGTTATCTGCTCTGTGTCTCTTTCCAGGGGCCTGAGTGAAGGGATTAAAATCTTAATGAGTTAGTGGTTGTGAGCGACTAGGGGTTTTTAAATGACTGCATTGTATTTAAAAACTTTATTTGTCTCATTTGTGTAACCAAAGCAGTAATTTCAAGTTTATTTCTAATAAGTATTTTAAAGCAGTATAGTTACAAAATGATTTGCAGTAAATTGTTTCGAACAAAACTCTTCAAAGGATTAATGGATAAATGCAAAGTAAATGTTCTTGCACGTCAACAAAGTTTTTTACCGTACAAAGAAAACTCATCTCCAAATAACCACCATGAGATAAGGGAGACTCACTTGTAGTGAGCAGCCGCCACTTCAAACTGACTGAGGAATATGTGGGCGTTGCCGAGGTTACAATGGGCCCTCCTCTCAGCAGACTTATCCCCAAACTCTTTAGCGACGAGCAGCCGCTGCCAAACATGAAAAACAGAAGTTGCATGTTATTTAGTTCAGGTGTTAAACACGACAGGACACTCAGCTGCCACGGCCACGAGAGGGAACAAGATTATAAAACTAAATCTTATTTTTTAATCATGAGACGTCAGCCGCCCACCTTTTCATGTGCAGCCACTGCATTTTCAAAGTCACCCAGCAGATAATAAGTATTTCCAAGGTTCCCATAGGTTCGACCCTGGGCTGCTCGATCGCCCAACCCCTTCACCAGGCACAGGTTCGCTCTTTGTGGGGAGAAAAGAGGTGTTGTGTTGACGTTAACATGTCAACATTGTCAGCACGATTTTCCAAAGACACCAAACTGTTAGAGCCTGAACGATTCACAATTTTGCCGATCTGAGCCTTTCACAGACATATTGGTATCAATATATCATCATCAGAAATGCCTGAATCCTCCTCCGAATATGGTTTCTTCAGTTTTAAAAAGAAAACCAAGATATTGCTGACCACGGCATTTCACAAACCACTGGGACACATCATGGTGGGTTTCCACACAGTTCAACTCCTGTCAGCCCTGATAAGCGGGAGACGGGTACATCCTGCATGATAACGGACCACTTCGCAAACCTAAGGGCTTCCCAAATAAAAACAAACCAACATACTCAACGTTTAGAAGTAAACACTGGTATGAACTCACTCGTAGTACTGTGCAGCTTTCCTCAGCGCGATCCTGGCCTCCTCTGGGAACTCTCCTGGCTCAGCTCCAGTCCAGCAGATGCTCTTCCCCTTGGCGTGGTAAACGTTCCCGAAATTATACAGCGCCCGAGCCTGCCCAACCTACAGCACGCACACCAGGTTTTCACAGATGGAAACCACACTGACCACAGTTGTAATTACATACTTAAAATACACCGACAGACACCAGACCTGCTCGTTTGCATCGAGGGGCTGGAAAACTATTCTAGATGTTGGTATGCCGAGGCTCGGCTGTCATCTTACACATATGTAGAGTTTTGTGGCCGTGGGGAATGTTATGTGGTTTAACAGATTGATATACATTGATTCAAAGCAAGTGAGCCACAGACTGAAATTTGTAAAAAGTGTAAAATCATTAATTCTCAGTTTTCTAAGATTAAATGTAATTCAATATAATATAATAGCAATACAACCCACCTTATCATATATGGCCTTCGTAATTTCCAAATGTCGCTGGCAACAAACCACCGCTTCCTCATAACGTCCTAAAAGTTTTAATGTGTTCCCAAGGTTACCGCTGGCTTTGGCCTCGCCAAGTTCATCTCCAATGGTTCTGGGATTGCATGAAAAAAAAAAAAAGAAAAACATTAGGAAATAATTAGACAGGAATATTGGAGGATTACTGGAGTGTGTTAGTGTGAAAACACAAGAGGCAAGAAAGTAATTTGCATCTGCAGGCAGAAATATTGTGGAGTCGCGTTGAGCAATTTAATCATGGAGGGGAGGGGGGGGGGGGGGTCGTGATTAAAAAAAGTTTTAAAATCTGTTCGGAATATTGTTTGAGATGAATCTTTAATTAATTGCGTTGGAGGCACATTTAGATTATGAGCATGAACCCACAAAACAAAAAAACAGAGGTACTGTAGCCAATCTAATGTCACACAGAGACCACTGTGACCTTTGACCTCCCAAATCAGTTAATCAGTGAGTCCCGGTTAATGTTTGAACCAAATTTGAACGGATTCCCTCAAGGCGTTCTTGACATACTGTGTTTAAAACAATGGACGGAGGCGTAGAAAAGGAGGATTTGGTTTCTGAGCAAGTTACAATCGAAACTGTGAAATGATTTACCTGGTGAGCGTGAGGTCATGCTGATGGTACTCCAGGGCTTTGTTATACTCCTGTAGGTGAAAGTAGGCATTTCCCAGCTGGCTGTAGATGGCGCTGAGGATTTGAAGGTCCTCGGTTCCGACCTGGATGGCCGACTCGAAGAAAGACACGCCGGCACGATAGTCTCCAGTCTTACAGAGACGCTCCCCCTCCAGAGCCAGGTCCAGACATGACGACTCCATCCTGCAGGAAAGTGGGATCTCTGTGAGAGGTCAAGTGATGGTGAACTCTAATCTCTAACTCTTTTTTTTTTTTTTTTAAATCAGGAGAATTATAAATGTGCCTCGGTGCAGATTTGGCTTTCAAATGCAGCTAAATTAAACTTCTCCATGAGTTCACACACAGGAAGGAACTGTCGCTCTGTTAATGCAGCTGCACAGGGAAACAGCATGTGAGCTGAAACAGTTGGAGAACTTCTATTCATGTGGCCATTTGTCTAAGCAACAAGTCTTTAGCAGACCTCTACTCTAACTGACTGTTTTCATTAACAATTAAACGTACCAATTATTTTATCATCTGGTCCATTAAATGCCGTTCCCCGTTTCTTGTCGTGTCTTTAAATGTCTTTAATTTGTCTAATAAAAACTCCACCAGAGGTTTGGCTAAATTACTTCCTAAGTCAGTAATCAATGTATCGTGTAATTATTTTAACGACATTCATTCTCATTTTGGAGACGTTTCATCCTAAAATTACAAAAAAATCGACAGTGGTTTTCGTGTATAATGCTCAGAAAACACAACTGTAACACACACACGTCAAGTCCGGACAAGAACTATAAAAAATCCAAAATAAGACGGAGCATTTCCTGCGCGTTGTGAGCGCTCGGACCTAAAAACTCCACATATACCCTGCAATGAAAGCGTGTGCTTTACTTTTAACCATGAACACTAAGTAAACTCAGATGTGTCTGTGGTAAGAAGCTTCTGGGGGAAATAAGATCATTCCTCTTTGTCAGCGTCAAACCAGCGGTATTGAAACAAATTTGCGTGAAACATTACATCACGAGACAGTTAAACAAATCCAGACATGGATTCATCGTCTACAGGATCTGTGACGGAGAAATGATTCCTGATAAATCTATTTAATACTTAGGGTACTTAACTTTAACTGTGGGATCTTAAATTTAGAATAACAACACCCTCCTTCTCTGTTCTCAGACCACTGACTCGTGATTTGTCGAGCGAGTGCATCAGTGGAACCTTCCTATTGCAGCTCAGCCCCCGATTGCTGTTGCACAGACTCTAGCTCCAAATGTTCAAGATGGCAGCTTTCGTAACCGAGATATTATTGCTTCATTTCTGGGTAGTGAGAGGAGGCAGAGACCTATCTTCCATAAACAGTCTATGATTCAGACCTGTAAGTTCACAGAATTCAATCTCTACTCTATTTTTAAAATAATAATTTTGGTTTTAGAGATATTGAACTATATTTGCCAACATTTTATTTTCATTTCAATAATCACAGATTAATGGCTGTGTTTCCCAGACAGTCACCACTTCCTCTCAGTCTGTCTCCTGAATTCCCCCAAAAACCGAAACCAAAGCTTTGAGTAATTGCTGGTTAAAGGTTGCGTTAAGGTCTGCCCCTCCCACAGAATGACAAAAACAAAGTAGTATTTCCAGGAATCTGTTATTCCGTCCGCTTTCAATATGAACAAGCTTCCTCATTTTCATTTACACAGTTTGGTGGCAAAGAGCAAAGTATTTATCTCAGCTGCTCCTCTTATAAAAGTACAAGTTGTTGGAGAGAGTTCAGAAACATGGTTCAAACTAACTCTATGTAATTCAACTGGAAGTAGCGTGCCTAACTCCGCCACGAGTCCCATCATGCAAAGTTAAAGAACGTGATGGAGAGTTTCGGATCCGCCCCTTCGTGCCGATCCAGCAGAAAAAAGCCTCCTTAATTAAAGTCTGCACCAAATTACACACACAGTTAAGACTCCTGCAGCTGATTCTTTATGAAGACTATGAATTATTCCCTGGGAAATGTGCGGAAATGTAAAAACAACCAAACAAGTAACAATCATGTATTCTTTAAGAAAGTGAAAAATGTCTGCTGACAATCAAACAAACAAACAGAGTCGAACACATCGCCTCCTTCGTGGTGATACAAATGTTCAAGTGTGTGCTCTCGCAGCCCAAAGCTTTTTAATTGAAGTATGAGAGCATGTCAAAAAGCACGGGACTTAAGACTTAAGCCTTTTAAAAGATTGAAACAAAGTGTCTTGATTAAGATGCTTCCTGACATCGAAGAAGAAGATTCACTAACTAACGCCCAGGCCTCACGTACCTGCTGCCTCTCCCCATTCTGATGCACTCGAGACAGTTTGACACGACGGACATTTCAGGCCTCTCGATGTGGAGCAAACGCAGCTCTTTCAGCTCAACGTCCTTCAGCTTCTCCTCCTTCGTGTGGACACACATAACGCACGTGGCCGCTGTGTCCACTATCTCAGGAGAATAAAGACAACGCGGCTCCCATTGATCTGCCGACTTCTCCTGAGCCCCCTGCTGACTTGTGGCAAGAGCAAAATAAAAGGGCTCTAATCCGCTCAGCGTTCACGTCGACCTTCGCGGTCGGGTGCCGGGGTGAGAGAGACGTTTTGTTTGGACGAGCGCAGATTAACACCAGGTCGTTAGCGAGCAGATATGAACAGAGAGAGTGGTCAGAGACGTAGGTGAGGTTAGCGAGGTTAGCATGTTCGGCCAAGTGTTGTTATTTCTCCCCCTCTCAGCCACTGGGAACAGATTTCCGAGCCACCTGATGGTGGGTGTCACTTCCAATTAAGTCAGACATCAATGGTAATTACTGTCACTTTAAGTGGCTCCGATAGACTCTAAGGCTATTTGCCTAACACTCCATCAAATAATCAGTTGGTGGCAGGCGGCCTGGAGGGAAACTTGTTTTAATGAAAATATTTCTCCCCTTAAAAAAAAAATCAAAATCTACCTGCATCATTTAATGTGTTTTGATAAGATGAGTTAATAATTCGTGGATTTAATAAATTCTGGATAGTTCCTGAGGGTAAATCACACAGCGGTGATATGATGAGGTTTTAAAATAAGAAATAAATTCACACCAAACCAGCATCCTCTCCTTCTCCACAGCTTATAGTAAATCAGCTGCAGCCAATCCAGAGAAATCCACTTGCGTGAATTAAGTCTGGTCAAAGTGTCCTCTATGGGAAGAAACAATGCGTTGGCTCACTACGGGTACATGTGACATTAAAGCTGCCACCTCGATTGACCAAAAGCCAGGTCAGCTGTTGTATAAATAGGCCAAATGTTGGGAGCGACCCAAATCTAACGTACACTCTAAAGTACACCCTCCATGACACCGGGGGAGTTTAAGGCGAGTTAAATGTAATACATGTGATTTCTGAAAACATTTGCATGAGCCAGTCAAAAGTTTCGTTTGTGGTTTGGCACCAAAATGTATTTCTCACGTGCTCCTGCCAAGTTCCCTTTATTCAGAGAGGATTTTAGTGCTCAAGACTGGACCAGCAGGTATCTGGTTATCAGATTGTGTCAGTGACCTGCAGGCAGGTGTACGCAGAGCGAGTAATTCCTTCAGAGGAAAGTATGCCAGTGGTGAACATCGACTTGACGAGGCTTGTTTGCAATATCTCAAATTACTACAGGGTGCTGCAATTTGTCAACTCTACCCACTCAACCTCACAGGCTTTCTAAAAATATACATTCCTGGTGGAGTCATGTCAACACTTACACAAAAACTTGAAGGAACGTTTGAAAATGTGACGGTAATGTGCAAAGAGCTGTATCGGAAAAAGGAAGCAATCACTTAGTGGATCATTCTGAGTGTCAGGTCTTTTTAGTCTCACAGTTGTTTCAGTCGTGTCATGAAATATTTACACTGCGGTGAGAGGGGGACCTCCTGCCGCCACCTCAGCATCATTCACGTGTGAGCCAATGAGGTGTCACGTTACTGACACACATAGTGAAACAGAACAGAACAGTTTCCTTTCACAAAATAAATGTTTTTTTTAAATGTTCCAAAGCCCAAGTTGGCAGATTCAGATGTTAAAGGCGAAGCAGAAGTTAAGTTAACAACTCTAACAAATAACTTTATTGATCCAAAAAGAACTTTTAGGACGAGCAAACATTCACAACTGAGGCTCGAGACAAGAATTAGGACATTCTGGCTTAAAAATTTCCTCTGTTCACTATTAATGATCAAAATACATGTAGTTGCCAATTTACTTTCCTTCCTCCTTCCTTGGTTGTGTGATAATAACTACACTGATGAAATATTTCAAACATATCAAATACTATAAGGTCGCACTGGGCGAGAAAACAATAATAATCATTCTAACGAATTCTTTTTTTAAATCTTGACAACATTTTACTTAATGAGCATCGGCCGATACACAAACTTGGTCGGACGGTATCGGAATAGGAATTTCATGATGACAAAGTTTCGAGCGACGCTACGTTATCCTTCATGCTACACCTCACACACTGAACACACAGCCTACCTCTGGCGGACATGAAGCACCTGCTCCCTGTCGCGTGCACGGTGCACAGACACAAACATGACAGTCAGCCCGGCAGATACAACATGATGGATCCCTGTCAGCTACCGAGCTGCAGGGAAAACAAGAATGAAGAAGAGGAGACGTCCTCTGGAGAGACTGAACGCTGCCACGCATGAATTCCATTGAACAATGAGAGGATTCAACCGCCACACTTTCTCTGACCCCCGTCTTATCTTGAAACTGGAGCTGGGAGCAGGAGTAAACACTCAACGACTCCTCCGTCATGTGTTCAGTGAATTTTAAGTGGTTTTGAGAGAAAGCTGTTGTGAATCATCACTATTCTACAGGTCTGGAACTTTCAACTGCAAATCAAGCTGCTGTACATCTTGTCAGTAATACAACAAGGTGAAATATATCCTATTAAAAACTATTTAATTAAATTCACAAATATTGAACTGGCAACAATTCAAATAATCTGTGAAACATTTTATGAAGAATAAGAATATACCAAATTCACCTGTTTCATTTTATAAAATGTGAATGTTTGCTGATTTTCCTTAGTCTCCTCCATGTACGTGGTGTATATTCCACAATATATCTGTCCACCGTTAAGAGAACAGTGCCTGTCTTGTTCCGCAGATACTCTCTTCTCTCGCTCAGTACCCAAGGTCAGCTTTTAGATAAAGTACCACCCAGCAGTAAGTTGTATTGTCTACGCTGAGAGACTTTCATATCTAACTGAGACGCCCCAGACACAGGGGCACCAACTTGTCTCTGTTGGATTTTTGCCAAGACGCGAGGACTTATGAATGCATATTTAAACTTAACTACCCAACAGGGTGCGAACACCGTCATGTGACATGGAGAGGGACGGTAATTCTAACCATTCATGGATGTGCCATTGGAACGGGTGACACAAGTAGAGGAGGATATACTGGGATGCAGTGGGACACATCTTCAGACTGTCGTTTGAATATTGTTCCACCCTCTGGTCTCCTTCATGCATCAGGTCAACGTTAAACTCTTCAGCTGCTGCCTGAGTTCTCCTCCCACCAGCTTCCAGAAAAGCTCCAGAACACAGGGATGTTTTAAAGGTGCAGTGTGTAGAATTAAGTGATATCTAGTGTTGAAGTTGCATGTTGCAGCTGAACACCCCTCACCTCACCCTCTCCTTCCAAACATGAAAAAGAAACTGTGGTAGCTTCAGTTGTCATAAAAACTCAGAAGGTGTTTAGTTTCTCCAGTCTGGACTAATGTACAAAAACACGGCGGCCTCTGTAGAGAGGGTCCCCTCCATGTAAAGATAAAGTATTTAAATATAAACGGCCTTTTCTGGGGTAAAGAAAACTACAGTTCATTCATTTTAGATGAAATGAACTAGTGAAAACATCATGAGGATTATTCTACATTAAATTGCTGCCAATAGTTTCCTTTCACCTAAATCTTACACACTTGGAGATTTAAGCTTCAAGGTTCCACAGCGAGAGAAACATCGATCCACTTCGTTGATCACGTTTCCACTGTGATGTTTGATTTGATCTCTTCTTCTCATTTCTTTCCACTGGCTGGATCGTCTCCAACCCACAGGTCTTCATCCTCCTGCGATCCCTCTCACCGACCAACAGCTTTCTGGCTCCAAACCTTCAGCTGACTACATGATTTCTTTTTCTGTGTTGACTGCATCATCCTTCGTTAACTCCACAGACGGAGCAGAGCAGAGAAAGGGTGCAGCTGCTTCTGATGCAGGAACCACAACGTCTGGGAACAATCCCACCATGTTCATAATGACCTACATCCTGAGACTCGCTCTTTATAAAATAACTTCTCTTGTTGACCTGTCAGCATGTTTTTCATTATCCCCCCCCCCCCAGTGGTGTTTGAGACGTGGGTGGTGGAAAAGCAAAATGAAAAATATGTTTTTTAACAAATCTTCCTGTAATTAAATGTTCTATTCATTCCTGGTGTCGAAATCAGGAACCCACAGGTGTGAGAGTGCACACTTTTCACGTAAGACTAATATTTTAATTGGATTTCTGTTTTCCCCAAAACACCTGACGCAGCATCGTCCTGCTCTGAGCAAACGTATAGTTTTCACCTTGCAACATCGCTCCTCTTGAAGTACTTTGAGCTCTCGTCTATGTAAACTACAGCAAATATATAAATGTACCACAAACTTCTCTGTGGAGGTTATTTGAGTTTCTGCTTCACATACTGTTATAATAAAAAGGCCTAATGTGGCCTCTTCAACCATAAGCATTTCAATATGAATACGCCCAAACAGTCCCTCTTCAATTAAGTGACGCAGTCTGAAGTGACAGTTATATTTTCTTTTGAAGAGAGATTAAGAGAAACCATCATTAGAGACTCAACTCGAACCCTGCAGGGGGGAAAAAGGAGCCAGAGGAGCAGATTTAACAGGAAAACTGAGCTGCAGCACTGAAACTGTGCTCTAACTATTGTCTTGAAGAAGTGGTCCTGTTATGACCAATCTGAACCTTATATAAGAATCAAACGTATTTATACTGAGAGCGTATTTAAACTAACTACCAGGTTTAGCAAGTGGTTTAGTGGAAAAAGCACATTTCTAATCTGAGGTCGTCTGGGACAGGTCTGCTCACTGTCCACAGAGTCAGAGCTAAAGACGGAGAAGCACCACACATCTGGAACGAACTCCAGAAAACACGAGACCTGCTCCAACTCTCGGTTATTTTAAATCAGGCCTTTATTGAAATAAACTTATATTTATTCGTGTGTTGCTCAACTCTTCATTTTTAGTGTTTATTTTCTTAAAACACTTTGACACACACACTGAGTTACTTCACTGGTTCACAAGTTTGTGTACTGTGAGTACAAAGATCCTGTTGTTTGGATTCTTTAATGGAAAATAAGGACGTGGAGAAGCAGCGTGCACCACACATCTGGAACTAACTCCCAGAAAACAGGAGACCTGCTGCAAGTCTTAGTTATTTGTAATTGCTTTTTAAGTTCCTCACCGCATTTGATCACGATTAACTTGGAAATATTTACTCGTATCTTGCACTACTCTTGTTTTAACTGCTTTTTTCTATGTATCTCTACAGTTTTAAACCCTATTTAAATCTGTCTTTATATTAGTTTGATGTTTATCCTCTGAATTGCCTTTGAAAGCACTTTTAATCACCTCAGTGCTGCACATTGTTTGTTCTAAAATCATATTAAAATGTGTCTTTCAACCTCCTGGTGGTTAGGACATGGAGAACCAACATTGCATTCTACCAAGACTAGAGAAATATGTGTTATTCTCTTGAACTACTCTTGCTGTAAGTGTTTTAAACCCTAATTTAAATGTGTCCTTTTACTCTTCTGTGTTTGTTCGAGTCCTGTGAGCAGAACGATCCAGAAAACCAAGAAGCTGCAGAGTTTGGGTTTATTTGCAGAGAAGCCTGTCGGTGACACAGCCTCGGTCATGATGACTGTTTGGAAAATCTCTCTGCAGGAGTCTGGAGGTGACTCAACTTTGGTGTGAACATGTCATCACACGTTTCACTGTCTGGATTCAACGGTGGAGTAGACGAGGAGACGTTTGGAGCATTTGACAGAGAAGTGTTTGGCAATAAAACCGAAACGTGTTCAGAAAGTTTGGGAGTAAAACAAAAGCAGAGGAGACGAAAAACAAGCGAACAGACTCGAAAAACGTTCCAGGTGATTATGATCCCACCTACCTCACAGAGAAGAATCCAGCACAGACATGACTCCAGCTCCAGGAAACAAGAGAAGTGCTCCTAACTAGACTCCAGAGGCTGACCCGTGCTGCTGCTCAGGAGGAGCAGGAGGAGCAGGAGGAGGATGACTCCATTGTCTCCGGGTTTAAAATCTCTCTGAAGAATCCTCGAGCTCTGACTCCAATTAAACTGCTGCTGCTGCTGCCTTCACGGCCCGTAGGAAATCTGGACACTAATGAACTTCAACACCAATGGTTAGTAAAAGGGAGGTGTTAAATGTGACGTTTTGATGGGCGGGGTGGGGAGGGAGGTTTATAATGATTCGTGATTGTGACACATTCAGGAACACGTGGGGAATTTTCTACGGAGAAGACGTGTCAGTTTCCTTTCAGGGCCTCTAACGCCCCCTGCCGCCTGCAGTGGTTCTGTGCTACTGCTTTGACAAGTGAGCCAAACTTTCTTTACAACAGAACATCTACATCTAGATGGAAACTCGAGGTAACAACAACAACATCAACAACAATAATAATAATGACAATGATCAGATGCTGCACAAAGAATCCATGGAAGTTTGAACCACAAAACTATGTACACAGAATAAACATTAAAACACAGATAAAACAACAACAACACATAAATAGATTAATTGAGTCTTTATTTAATTGTTGTTATCCATCATGATAACAGTTTTAAACATGTAAGTTGTTATTTGACTTCTTCACACCGGGCCAGGGACGACAGACTCAGTTATCTATGTTAACTCTGGCATATTTACGGTGTTATTATTATAATATTATAACTATTATCAAAAGGGAATTAATGTAAAAATACATTTGAAAAAATGTCTCTACCCTTAATATTCTGTAGTAAAAGATTATTATCTACATATTCTCTCCGACTTTTATTTTTTATTGCCTGTTTTCATTCTTATTTAGTTTTTCTACAGTAGCAAGTGAATATCTCCAGCGTGGGATCAATAAAGTTAACTGGTACTATTTTCTTGGGCCCCAGTGACCCCTGAATTTTTTTACCAACGCACCCCAGGAACCTTCCAGCGTACGATGGAGCAGTGGATCTGAGCAGAATATGAATGTAAAGCATCTTCCATTTTGCCAGAGGACGGATATTTCCGCCCTGTTTCACTCATCTCTGTCACCATCTGTTCTGGAATGTGAACTCTGCTGTTTGACTCGTCCTTTAAATCAACACAAACTGCTGCATCTTGATCAGTTTGCTTCATCTCCACCACGTTTCATCCTCTGATGTGTGACACTCCAGAGCCACATAACAAATGGCTCCTTTTCTCATTCTCCTCCCTCTCGCTCCGCTCTTGCTAATTGCTCCAGTTGCTTTGCTGACCAAAGCTCACTCTGAGTCTCTGTGAGCTTTTAAAGCTTCAAATGTTTGCACTTTGTCTTTTACTTCAATGCAGTTTGGCATCGTCTCAGCTCGGGTGAAGAGTCCGATAATAAACCCAGACTTTCACTGAACTTCTCCGGCCAAGTGCTCAAGTTCTCTTTCTCTGTAATGATTGCAAAGGGGAAGATGTTCTTACCTCAGTGTAATGGCCACAACTGCAGTTTGTACAGTGATATACCAGAATTTTCCTTTAAATCTGAAACAAGATCAATAAAATGTTTGTAGAAATTAACATCCTTATTTTCTCTTTCTGAGGAGTTTTGGTCAAATTTGTTTTCAGATTTCTGGACTTTGATTGATTGATTTCATTTCTTACCTTGAAAAAACATTTCACAGACAAAAATGAAGAGAGTTTAGTACAACACTATGTTTTTATTTATGCTTCTGTTCTTTCCTTTTAAAATGTCTGTTCTCCCTCACAGTACAGAAGAAGTTTACAAAATATACTCCATTTAAAAATATATAAAATACACAAAAGTATAGGAAACCATCTCATTTGTGAAAGATTTATGGTAATATAGTTTATCCCCCTTTTTCAAAAATGAAGGAACCAAGACTCTTGTAAGTATCAGACTTTCAGTTTAAACATGGAAGTTCTTTAAAACCGTGATTTACTCAAATCGTTCAACTATTTGAAGCCATTTTCTAACACGTGTGTTTTAAGTCGTGGCTGTTTTCTCTGCATTGTACCATTTGTAGCAGAGAGGTCATTTCAGGGCCACGGATAAAAAAGAGCTAGCATTCGTCTCATTACCAAAAATTATTGCCGGCCTGCAGTGACGGGGAGCAGTTTATCGCTGCACCGTCTCCGTGGATAAATTAAAGATGAACAAATGGTTTCCTTAGCAGCTTTGGTTAAACTGTGGTGTATCGAGCGGGACCAGGACAGGAGCGGAAGGGAGAGAGGCCACTGGGGAAATCAGACAGGAAGACGGGGCTGTGAGTGGTTGAAGTTTCCATCAAGGCCTGGCGTCTCTTGCGGTCACGCCTCTGGTAGTGGAAGCTAAATGGCGGACGCAGCGCCAGAGGGCCTCCGACCTCTTCAGAGGAGGAATCGAACAGCTCAGGAGCTGATGGTGGTTGTCGTTGCTGGTTGACCAACCCTTCAGACGACTCGCTGGAGGAGGAGGTGAGCGGGTTAACCACCACTGAGGGGTCAAAGGGCACGGGCTCAACGGGTGTGGGGTTAAACGGCGCTGGTTGAACAGCAGGGTGCGATGTCGGGTCAGAGGGAGGGGGCTGTGGATCATTTCCTGGATCGTCGATCGGAGGAGGGAAGGTTGGGCTCACAGGGTATGGAGGGAGGTCGTGACCCTGCGGCTGCAGCGGTCTGCGGATGTCTACGTTCTGCACACAAACACACAAGAGCACACAACACTGATATTTAACACTCACTTCCCAAGCTGAGAAAAAGTAAGACGGACTATTAGAGCCACTTATGGGAAAAAACAACAAGATTTTTAGAATAAAGTGGTAATTTTATGAGAACAACATATTTTTTAAGGTCATGTTAGAGGGAGAAGATCAGAAGATCGGCCTGCTGTCTGCAGTTGAATGAGGAATGTGGAGCGTGTAGAATTCACAAATAAGGAGCTAGTTTATCTTTTGGGGTTATCAGAACCATGTGTAACAGGAAATTCAAAATATTGTGCAAAAAATGTCTATTCCAAAGAAAGAACCAGAGAACTGAGAATCGCCTTTTTTGTGGAAATGCTCTTCTCAAGTAAGATTTTTCTCTTGTAAATTCTAGATCTATTAAATAAAATTATTAAAAGATTAAAAAAATTCTCATGTAATATTAAAAATGTTTTCCTCAAGAAGATTTTACTTTAAGCTTGACTTTCTTATCAATTAGGACTTTTTAGACCTTTGGATCTTTGTTGTTATAAAATACAACTTTTTTTCTCATCAAATTTCCACTTTTTTCTCATAACATTACGTCTTCCTTCTCAATCATTACAGTATTTTTGTAATATTCCAAAATTATTCTTGAAATCTCTTGAATTGTTCCTCTATATGGGCCTAACACTCCGTCGTACAGAAGAGTTTCACTCATGCAGGATTATATCAGATGCCACAAGTCTAGAAACAAGTGAGAGGACGACATAATTATAGCACAGAGTCGTACAATTTTAGAAACACACACGAGCACAACACAAACCAGGAGACACAAGCACATGGAAGATGTGACAGAATAATTATATGACTGGAAGCTTCCATTCAGACACACAACATTCATCAAATGTAGGTCACACAGTGGCTTATTATAAACTTACAGCCCCACAGCGCGTCCACACTCACCACATCTTACTGACGGTTTTACACTCTGTGACTCACGTCTTTTATTTCAGATAAATGTTCAATTATTTCTCTCCTTCTCTCCTTCACAGTTTATTTTAATTAGCTATGAGAGTGAAATCTCTGCTGCTATTTGACAGCAAAAATATTATTTATTCTTCGTGTCTGTCATGCTTTATATTTTCCTCCTTCCATCTTTAATTCACATATTGATTGTGTGTATTGTTGTCACCTTTTGGTTCAATTAAAGCAACACCGTGCGACTTTATCACCCTTAAAACAGCAGCTTTAAAATGATTTGATGGTTCTCTGACTTGGAAGAGGGAGAATGTTTCCTCTTTCATTCCCTCTCCTCACCCTGGTGGAACTTTGGTGAGTGGGTACGATCTCCTGTGAGAAGTCCAGAACTGACCAAGCTGCTTCAGCAAGTTGAAGAGTAAAACTGAAGTAAGTGAAGAGCAGTTAAAAAGACGTAAAAGTCACTAAAAATCTCCAATATTCTTCTTTCTTCTTTCTCGACCCTTGACCCGTCTTTCTATACCAACAAGCAAACAAACTACAGAAAACAGCAGAAACACTGACTGCTGCCATTTCGGTTGAGCTGGCTCAGATAGAAGAAGGTGAATATTCCTTAAGTGTGTCTCGTACCTGCACTTTGAACATCTCACAGGACACCTGAACCTCGGGATGGACGCTCACGTGTCCTCGTACAGATCCTGCACAGAAACCTGCAGTCTGAGAGATGACAAGATCTTGTTCTTTAATTTCTTTTTTTACGCAATAAAAAAGGAGCAGCGAGGGTGAAAGAAACATAAAAATTAAAAGGAGGAGCAGACGTGTCATGCCTCGTTGATAAAAGAATCAATTACCGCGGCTCTCAGATTTAAAAGTAGAAATTAATCTGTCATGCCGTCAAGTAGCACTTCCTGCAGCTGCTGCAGCGACGGTAAACAAGATGCTGCAGGGTCGATGTTTATTTGTGTTTCTAGAACAACATGAATTAATGTCATAACAGTGTCAGACTATTGTCTCTGCAATCTATTACTTTAAATGAATGGTGCACCTACAGTGATGGTCCATGATATTACTGATTGGAGCCTTTGTGACTTCTTGTCCTTCTGTCCTGTTTGTCTTTATGGATTGAAATTAAAAACTGAAACGATACGCTCAGAAAATAATTAGGCCTGAAATGTTGACTTTATGTTTTTCAATTAAATTTCTATGTAAGTTTATCACATGAATTCAAGGGTCACATTTAATGACGTGTTAGAGTGAATAAATCAAATAAGTTGAGAGTGATATGATTAAATATAAGTTAAACTGAAATGTTTATTATTTGTATATCAATCTATAATTTTAGGCCTAACCATTTTTTGCATATTTTACATTTTAGGATTAATGAAGAATGAAAAGCTTTTATCTCATTTGAGAGATAAAAACAGCAACAAGGTTTAATGTGTCAGGATAATGTCTGGTCTTAAATACGTGTCGACTTGTACCTCTGCGTCAGAGAAGAGTGACCGTCCCCGGCAGGTGCCTCTTTCCGTCACTCCCTCTGGACACTCTTGGACGGTGTACTCCACAAAACTGGCTTTCTCCGGCACAACCTGAAATAAAAAATAACAAGGTAAGAAAAGTGTAAATTACACAAACGAGCACAGAAATCACATTTGCAGTCAGATACAGAGGTGGTGAGGCTTCGTGCTGTAACTTAATTGCTATCAGTTTGGATTTAGAGCATTAGAAATGTTACCTAAGCTGGACAGGAGCGATACAATGATTTTTTTCAGGCCCCAAGTGAACGATTGAGTTTCTCCTCTGCCCGGCCAGACAGTCACGTCTGAGTTGCCGTCAGTAATCCTCTGCAACCTTTGCAAGACTCTTGCATCATTATGGTTTTTGTGGAGCAGTAAATGCTTCTCATCTGGAGCACAGAGGCTCAGAGGTGCAGTCTAACGTCTGCTCATTTACACCCAGAGATTAATCTCCAGTGTTATTTTCCAATAAACACATTGTTGTGTGAGAGAACGGAATCAGCCCTTGGAGCTTTGCGTCTCTCATCAAAGTTCACAGCTGTGTGTCCTGTGGTTTAACCTGCGCCGCGGCTCTGGTGATCTTCTTCACCCCGAGTCCTGCACCCAGCGTGGAGCGTCTCCTGTAGGACGCCAGGGTGACCTGAGCTGTGCTCACGGCCTGTGGGTTGTCTGTGGGCAGCAGCAGGGGACAGGTGGGACACACCTGCTGCAGCTTCTCTGGGGGATCTGCAGGGAACACACTGTCACATGAGTAATGAACATTTACACTGAAAATACAAGAACACATTGTGAGCAGATTATATCCAGTGTAGATTTCACAAATAAGGAAATGGTTCATTTTTCGGGGTTCTCAGAACCATAAGTATCAGGAATATTGTGCACAAACATGTTGATTCTGAAGAAAGAACCAAAGAACTTGATGGAAATTGTCTTTTTTGTGGAGGAGGAAATATCTAGATTATATATCTAAATTCTAGATATTTCCAAATGACTTTAGCAATATTACTTTATTTTCTTTTTTTCTCATTAAATTTAAACTTTATTGTCATAATATCATCACTGCCTTCTCAGTTATTACTTTATTTTCGTAATATTACAAAATTATATTTGGCTCCAAAACTCCATCGTACAAAAGCGTTTCACTCATGCATCCAAGATTATATCGAAAATACAATATAGTACAATCTGAATGATCCCTTGAAAATATCACATGTTACTTCATTTATAACTTCTTGGTGTTTTTAAACTCCTCACACAGTTTGTGCAGAAGTGTTGGGTGTGCTGATGTTACCTGGCACCAGAGTGCAGTCGTAGCTGTACAGGTAGGAGAAGCCCTCTGGTGTGTGGAGGATGGTCGTGTTACAGTTACCAGAGATTTGCTGAAAAGAAGAAAACAGTGTTTGTCACAATCCCGATTATAATTATCGTTAACACAAAGATCTTTGATACAACATGTGATATAAAAGTCCAAGAACTAAATAAATGAGTTTTACTGTGATGTGTTTTTGTTCTTGTATTTTTATTTATGGTTTGGAAGTGAAGACGACAGGAAAGACTCTGATGTTCAGTTTCAAGTTAAAAGGTAGGAAACTACTTTGCAAAAACAAGAGTTAAACTAATATATATTCTGATTATTGTGTCATTTGTTCGTATGATATGTGGATATTCAGATTGTAAACCATGATGCCTCCAACATTCAAGGCACTTGAAAATGTTAAACTGCATCTCTGCAGCGGAGGGAATTCTTACAATGAGGCAAATAGGGTACTTACAAGTGTAGTACAAAGTACAAATGTGTGTTTGTCTGTGTGTGTCCTACCGTCTCCATGAACGGTCTGACGTCACATCGTTTCCATGGTTTTGGGCTGCCGATGTGACACTTGGTCTCCAGGACATCCAGGTCCAGGTAGTACACGTTGCCTGCTGGGCCCTGACGAGCACAGAGCAAACACAAACACAGAGCGACGAGGAACAAACAATGTTGTGCAGTTAGAATTTCTAGCAGCGAGACACAACACCCATCACAAAATAAAAGCATTTCACAAAAACTCATGTAAACCCAGTCACGTTCCTCCGTTTGTTCAGTTGCAGCTTTGAGAAACCGTCGATGAGGTTCTCTGTGTAAAGTGGAAAGTTACGTTTTCATCTGTTTGTTTGTTTGTCTACTTGTTTTTCGACATTTTCAACTGATCTCTCAGGGAATAACTCGTGGATCTTGATGAAATTAATGCAAGATGACATAAAAACTGCAGAACAGACTTCCAGGAAACTTGGCATAAGGAGAAGACACGGCCCATGAACAAGCCCATTAGAGTTTTGCGTGTATCTGGAGAGAGAGGCACATCCAGGAAAGGTTTTATCACTTTCTTTAATGTCGGGAGATAAGTCGTTTTGGGGTTTGTTTTTGTTTCACATTTCCAGGGAATAATTCATAGACCTGATGAAAACAATCAGGCATATCTAGGGGAGTGTGTAAATAGAGCGAGATCATTTAAATGTGGTTTCATCAGGGGTATGGGCATTTTTGCAGCAGCTGTATGTTGACAAATGAGGCCGTAGACATGTAACTAACACCAACGTGTGGCTGAGATGATGTGACTTCACCCGTGCATGAACAGTGTACATGTATCTTCAATAGTTTTAGAACCGTGTCCACATAAGCATGACAGATTCTGTGCAGAATTTAAGGGACTTGAGCCTTGGAGACAGTTTGCGCTCGACTGAGTGCCACTCAAGTTCAATATTGATTCAGGCTGCAGCACTGAAAACAAATGTCAACACTTTGAGCAGGTGTAACGGGGACTTTTCAGGTCATGAAGTTGAGCTGAGCCTCTTAAAACTCGATCCATCCCACAGTCGGGCTACAACAGCCTTCAGCGGCTGACAGCATGAAGTTCATAAAGCCCTGTTGTGCAAGGTTTGTCCCGGCGGTGCTGGACTGGAATGACCTGGACTTTATGAACTGCCGCCTCGGTAAAAAGCCTTTTTCATGAGGCGTGAAAGAGGACGGCTTCTCATTTCACGACAGAACATTACGTACGTCGGTTTCTACGTCATATTTATTGGAAAGCGACACTCACCGCAAAATGCAAACAGCAAATATTCACTGTTTTAAAGTCTTTCGTGGTTCGACACTAATGTACCTGCAGCTTTGTTTCATGTCGGTGACGACTGATAAGTCCTTGACAAGCAGAGTTTAATTTTATCATCATTTCCCTCCAGAGAGACGGAGTCCGCTCATTGTGACGATGTCAGAGGAGGATTCCTGATTAGAAAATTTTGACTGTGCACAGTCACATCTAACAAAACATAAATCTTATCAAATGGAGTCCCACTGACACGAAGATTGGCCACGGCTGGTTACATCTACCAGCGTGTGACTCTCTGCTCTCAATGATGTTTGGGTATTTCAGGGAAAATAACCTTTACACACCACAGCCTTTGTGAAACATGCACAAATCACCCACCGCCACAATAAAACAACCCCCAGGCTGCCTTTGCCCCCACTGAGCGTTTCTGTTTGCACTAACCTGAGCCTGCAAGTGCACGTTTGCAATGCGGTTGAGGGCAAACTTGTAGCCGTCACTGCGGTCTTCATTGATGTAGGTGAGAGCCAGACGAGACAGCTTCTCCACCGCTTTGTCATTGCAGGGGACGGGAGCAAGTTCAGCCGGCACCAGTGGGAAACTCTCCCCGTGCACAGCCGACAGGAGGGATGACAGCAGGAAGAACACGGAGGTGGACTTGGTGGCCATGATGGCAGAGGTTCAGACAGGAACTAAAAGACAGAGCTGGTTTAAAGTCAACTTTGTTCTCCTGTGTTTGCCTTCAGTGACTTTTGGAATCAAAACAGGACGGAGATGTTGAAACGAAGCCAAGGACAAAGTTTATTTAAATGGCGGTTTCCTGATATTTGTGAATGAATGTGACAGTCGTTCATTTTCACAGAAAAAGAAAACAAATGTAAAAAAAAATTATTCATAAGACTCCTGTGTTCACACTGTTAATAACATCTAAAACTGTTTTATTCTCAGTGCAGGAGTCACCTCTGTGATAAATACATTAAAATAACTCCCTCATGATTTTATAACACGTTCAAATGACTGTTTATATGTTTATACCCCTACATCTATATATACTGTACTGGTGCCATATATTGTAGTGGTGATGTGAGGGCCTCACCTCTAGGGGTCACTGTGACTCTGGTGTGCTGTAGAGAACTGGTTAATGATCCACTGATCAATTTCACTACCCACAGAATTAAAGCTGCTGTTTTCTCAGAAACATGAAACCTCTGACATTTCCTTTTTTCTGCATTGATTTTAGTGAAAGAAAAGAAACAATAGGCCTTAATGTCACTGGATCTACTTGGAAATTAAACATTTGCCACATCATGTTGCAATGGGATGAACAGGATATTTGTGCAGCATGTTTGTGGACTAAAGTCATTGGTTTAACATGTGGAGACTATGAAGATGAGACAAACAGCTGACGATTCCAACTTGAATTTGAATGAACAGAACCACTAGAACATGTGACGAGTGTTTCTTGTTGTAATAATTGACGATACGAAACAAGCAAAACATAAATAAGAACGAAAGATAACATTTAAAGATAAACAGGTTCCATTTAAACCAGTTTAAAATCAGGCATTAAACACTTTTAAACCCAGGAAACATTTAGACATTAAAATACTTTTCTGTCAAAATATGTTTTAAGCAATGATTTAAAAACAGGTAAAGTGCTTGAAAGCCGTATCTCTTCAGGCAAAATGTCCGATCACCCTTAGTTCTCAGTCGTGACTTAACCAGCTTTAGCTTTTAAACAGTCAACAGCTCTGAATGTGTGCTCTTAGTTTTAACCTTGGCATCGACCTGTGAACTGACTGCATGAGTTGTTCAAAGAGGATAGAGCAACATGAGTAACGAGCCATGCTGCTGTTCTCCTGTCAGCCAAGAAGGAAAAACATCGATCCGAGTCGGACAGAGACGACAATCTGAAACGCCCTGACAGAGAAAGAAACTCCTGAAGCACTGAGCATCATCCATGGAGCAGGTCGACCAAGGTCAACAACAACAACAACAGCTGGGGACAGAGCTGTGCAGTGACATCACCACCAGTGTCCACAGGGGGCAGAAATACAGACGACGCACCCCAAGGATCAAACTGCTCATCGGCAGGAAGAATCTGAAGCTCATGATGGAGTTTGAAGAAGTTCAGAGATGATGAGACGCAAACGTTTTCTGGACTGAAGCTCTGAAGTGATGGAAGAGGCCAAAGGCAGGATCCAGAACACACCAGCTGATCTGTGAAGCAGGGGAGGGGGGGCTGGTGACACGGCTGCATCTGGAATGATCTCATTCATCTTCAGTGATGATATCACACATGATGGCCGCAGCTGGATTGATTCAGACGCTTTGTTCGCCAGTTTAAAGAGAAATGCATCAAACATCAGTCAGGAGCAACTTCCATCTCCAGGGGCAGAGTGTGAGTCAACGTTTACATGGACACCAACATTCCAGTGTTGACCCAAATAAACCAACAAGCTGAATGAGACACCGTCATGTAAACTGGAGTTTCTGATTACCTCAACTAGAATGAGGTCATATACTTGGAATAAACATAATTAAATCCAAATATGTGAAGAGTTCCAACCTCAGTCGCCATGTAAACCTGAATCGCATCATAACGTCCCACTGGAGATTTAAAAACTAACAAGATGGAAAAATAAAACGAGCTGTAGCTTTTGTAAATTGTGAACTCTTGTTCCGTGATATAAAAAAACACAAACACACAAACACAGAGAGATTAGTTTTCTTCCTTCAGAGCAGCAGCAGTGTAACCGGGTTTGACTGTGTGTTATAGGAGGGGTTC